TTATTTTACATCATTATTAGTATAACTATTTCTTTCACTCTGATTATCATAGCGCCCCAAAAGCCTTTTTTCTTAAAAGCCTATTAAAACTTAAATTTTTCTATGTGTATATTTTTAATGTTAGTAGATGTAAATCAGTTAAGAAGTTTTGCTGTCAGATTTAATGAATAGAGAAATGTGAACCACTTCTCTGAAAATAGTAATCGGAAATATTTTAGTTTTGAGATAATCTAACCTCATAGTTTTCACTATTGTTAAGATAAACTTGATGTGTGCTCGGCAAAGGCGGACTCATGACTCCTATCCCACCCTGACAAAAAAAAATGAAAAAGAATGTAAAAAGACAATACATCTGTGATGTAAATTAATTAACAGAATTATATTAGTCTTCTCCTTATAGTGCCGAGGGGCTACATCAAATCTAGTTATATTCTAGGTCCCAAATATAGGTTAAAAAATAATCTTAAAAACTTTTGTTTCATATATTATATAAACATATGCTGCCAATCTAGCAATAGATTTAGAATTTGTAGAAAAAGTAGACCAGTTCATTCAGGACGACCATTTCATAACTGGTAAAGATCATAAAGAACAGTTTCCATCTAAAGTACAATGCAGATTGATAAACCCAGCAAAATCTAACATTGGTAAAATCAGCAAACAGAATATTGAGAATGTAGTGATAGCCGTGAAATCTAAATGAGGATCAAACCAATGGAACACTACATGTCATGTTATAGAATGGTTTACTAAGCTTGAACAGAAAAGTAAACTTCATAACTTTACATCACAAGAAAAAGAGATCTTAAAAAGTGTAAGATCTGATTTTCTAGGAAGCTTTTTGTCGATTCAATAATTAAAAATTCCGGAAAAGTATCTTTATGCAGATGGAAAATCGGAGATATCTAACATTCACATTTGACAAATGCAATTTGGCAAACTTGTTCGTACAAGCAATAAAAAGAAACATTTAAAATATATATACATAAATTATATTGTTCATGTATTGTATATTATACATGATAAATTCAGTGGTACTGTCTCAGTTGATGTCCGGACGGTGCACATATATATTTCGGACATATTTTTGTATTTTATAGCTCTTTGCACAAACATTATTCTCGGGTCTTGGTGAAACGAAAAACTTAATCCTTTTCTGTTAATTTTCGAGTCATAAATATAAATTCAAAAATAATACAAAAGACATTGGCAATTGTAAGCCCATGTTCTGATATTTATTATAAACAAAGATGCAACCAAATAAACAGGTACTGAATATGTTCTGATATTTATTATAAACAAAGATGCAACCAAACAAACAGGTATTGATTATGTTCTGATATTTATTATAAACAACGATGCAACTAAACAGACAGATACTGAATATGTCAAAGTTAATGTATAAGAACAGAAATCGGAATTCTTTATATTTAAAGAAAGTTAGTAATTACCTCTCTCTGATTCAAATATAAAGGTGGAGAGTCAAGATCAGAGTTGTAGCTTGGATTCCTAAAACAAGGAAAGCATTAGATTATGATATTTATATTTCTAAAAAAGAATGTTACCTGTTGCACTGATTGTTAAACAAGGAATTGAACTCATCAGATGGCATCATACCGTAACCTAAAAAATTTTTTGTTGTATTATTACAAATTCATACTGCTTAAAGGATTGGACAAACCAAAGGCTGTTCTTTTTTGAATTTTTGAATTTGTATTCAATTGTAGATTTATGCGTCTCTTTGTTTATATTGGTGCAGACATAATAAGGGCTTTAAACGGAACGTTTCTCTTCATTATAAAGTTTCAGGAACGATAAAAAAGAGAGCCCTGGGATCCTTTCTATTTAAAGCGCTGGAGTGATATCTTCATTTTTAATAAAAAGGGGACTTTTTAACTTTTTAACCAAGAACCCCGTTGGTTTACAAATAATAATATAGGATAATTATTTCCTTGTTATTTTTAGGAATCTGACAACTTAATTATTATTAAAACTAATTACTCATAAAAAATAGCTCTGTTTATGTATTTATTAAGTTCTTATTCTACATTACTTATGTTACAAGTTATTTCCCAATTGTGAGGTTTTTGTTCAATATTTTGATCTTTAGACAAAACTTTACTCAAGTTCTAGTAACTTGTTAGCTAACCAAATATATTGATTATGATTTATGTCTACCAACTCATTTCAGACTTATCAAGTTCTGCCGACCATCCAATCAATATACATTTGTGCATTTGGGTATCCATTACATTATGATACCTGTTCCTGTTGATCTAACTGAGGGTTTTGACCCTTTTGATGTTGAAGTTTGGGTTGTTGGGGGATTTTTTAAACCAGTGGCTTAACACATTTTCAGATTCATTCAATTTTATTAACTAATGAGAAATTGCAATTTTTTGGATACCACAAGGTTTTAAAATATATGTACATTTGATCAAGGAATCTTAGATAAATGTGTAAACATGCAATTGTTTTAGTAAAAGCAAAGCATATTATACAAATAGACGCAATAAAGATGCAAAAGATGGTGTTGAACACAAAAGTATGTTAAGATATCTGTCATACAACGAAAATAGGTAATTTTTGTTTCTCTTTATTTCTAAATGCTACGCTAAAGAATAAATTGTGGCACCCAAATGTATACATAAAGTTATAATTAAGTAGAAATAGTCATTATGAATGAATAATTGAATGAATCTCGCCTGTAAGAACACTAGTTATTGTGTAAGTGTACTTATCAGTTGTAACAGGAATGGATGCGTGGATTCCTACTCAGATTTAATAATCTTCAAAACACTAAAATTTCTGTGGGATTTAAATTAATAAAATCTTCAAAGCATTCTTAGTTCTGTGGAACGTAAGGTTGAAAAATTACTTTTTTTAAACACATATTTTACACAAGCAATTAAAGTCATAAAATCTAATTTTTTTAATTATTAAAGTCCTTGTGAGCACATTTCAGGAGTTCCCATGTCATAGATAATTCTAGTCTTAGGCCTTATTTTATTCAAAGGAACATCTTTAAGAGTGGCCATTTGTTAATTAAGTACAAATAAAGTGTGTATTTTGTCATTATCTCAGTGTTAAAATTAAAAAATATATTCTTTTTAATGGCCAGCTTCCTTCATGGACAGGTGAAGTTCCCGTTGATACAAGTTCAGATTGCCGAATAATTTTTGTCTTAGACGGGTTGTTAGGTTGCTTTGATGGCATTTCATTAACATTTTTAATTGACGATTGCTGGGAAGATTGTTGTATTCCGTTTTCCAGGTTTAAAACTAAGCGGAGGTAAATATTGCATTAATCGCTAGTTTTGTTTTCTCTTCAAAATTCATTGCAAACAAAAATGGGGATTACCCTGTCTATAGGGACTAAAAAAGTAACAAATGACATAAAACATTAGTTGCCGAAATATTTTAATCACGCTGAATTGGCGGTTTGTACAATTATTCATGCATATTATCTGGTGACATTTGATATAGATAAAACGTAGTATATATTTGAATGCCATATTTATTTATTGCGAATATTTAGACCCCCTACCTAAACCTTCAGAATGAGTCGAATTCTCGTATGATCGAATGCGATCCTTGACAATATGTTTCTGCTCTTCATTTTCAGGCAGAGGTTTGGTATACTCACGTTGATAGCTCTGTTTTGTTAGTTGATTTGATATTATGTTTTGTTGTTGTTTACTTTGATTTGAGCTTGTTGTTGGGATTGCTATATTGTTAGCTAACTCCAGAGCATTAGGCATTTGAAGTTTTACCGGCCCATTTCCAACAAATGTATGGGCTACACCAGTTCCGCCCATTTTGGCTGTAACTGGGCTTTCCATTTTTTGCACCGGTTTAGTAACATGTTTCTGCATGACAGATTTAGCTTCTTGGATAGTCGTATCATTTGAGGAGGATGGTTTCGGAAGATTTGGATGAGATTCAGGTTTATTCTCATCTTTCATTTGTTTTTGTTTTAATTGACTGTTAAGTGGTATAAGTTGATCAGGACGCTTAAGACCCTGCACACCTCCTAAAATTGTCATTTTAGATAAAAGGAATGTCAGATTGAATCGTTCCAAAAATACATCAAAATTAGGATATAGAAATAAATGCATAATAAAAATCATTATATCAACTAAGAGCGTTGACTTTTAAAAATGCAAATATGATTTAAATAATATATCAAATCAATAAAACTACTGCTTTACCACTACCAGTAAACAAAATAGTGTCATTTTGTATGGAAATTACCAATAGCATACCTATGTAATAACATGCAAAAAAACAGATCATGCAACTACAAAATAAAGATTTATTTTTGATATACTGTGATCAGAAAACACGGTTTGTTGAAAACTTCCAAAGAATTTTCATTTTAAAATTCTGAAGATAAGAAAGTTTAAAGTTATATTACTTAAAATTATTGTTCACGGTTTAGTGGTTGTAAAAATATTATTGGGATAGAATATTTATTTTAATAAGACCCAAATTTATGTTGTTCAAGAATTATTTTAAATCAGCCGATGCACAATGAAAATCTTATACCCAGACGCTAAAATGGTGCAGGCACTTGCAAGTTTTTTTTGTCTTTGTAGAAAGTAAAAAAAGATATTTATTTAATTTGTTTCCATCTGTGATATTAAAGAAGATATTGTTATTTTTTTGATTTTTGATTTACTGTATTCAATATTAGAAATTGAATAAAAATCTTTTTTTCTGCTGGTGAAATAGTTGTGCTTACATATTATGTTAGCAAAGTTTTTTAAAGAGATTGTTCAGTTATTTACCAATGCACATGCTACTTTCAGGAATCATTAAAAGGCGCCAAAGTCTGTAATCCGAAAAAACAATTAGGACAACAATATTAATTAAAAAAGAAACCAAGGTCAACTTAGGGGTGGGGGGGGGGGAAGTAATGCACCGTTTTTAGTGACTGGATGTGTTCTAGACTGAGTTTTAATTGTATATAAAATAGTCTGATATCTCATATTCACTTGTGAGAGATTTAAAATGTATTAGAAATATTAAGTCTTAGAGATTCATTTCAAATTTAAAACAGTACTATGGTGCCGCTCAAAAAAAAATGATGAGGATTGAAGGAGTGGTCTTTGGAATGTGTCCCATATTACACTTAAAGGATGTTGCATTCATAATTGAACTTACAAATATTTTTAGGTTTCAAAAAGTGTATTCACTTGGTACCTTTGCACACTGTGATAATATTTGGAGATATTTGCCAGCTAAATTTTTATTTGTCATAACACGTTTGCCATACTTAAGCTGTGCATAATTTCAGTTTTCATCATAACTTTTACAATAGGTATTTACCTCTTACCAAAAGTACTTCAAAATATTCATAATATACCCCTATTTTGGGGATCATTAACAAAGAATTTCCTCGAGGTAAAGAATGATCGAAACTTTCAACCATTATTTTCTTTAAATTTGCATTGTTTTTTATCAACCCTCTCCCCAAGACGTCTCAAAAAGAAAACCCAAACTATAATTATGTTAAATATCTATATAATAAAACATGACATTTGTATATATATATATGTTGCTATAGCCGGCCAAACAGTTTAACCGATTGGGCTGAAATTTTTTCTGGACACTAAAGGTTGGCGGGGGGGTGTTATAGGCTACAAAAATTCGAATTTTTTAAAACATTTTTTTCCATGGGCAACACCAGGCCCTTCAGCTAGTGTTTGATAAATTGCAATTATGGAAAATTTATTTCCGGAAAACATAAAAAGAGCAAACGTATCATGATAAATGTGACAAAAAGTTACACAGTTAATAAAAGAAGAGTCTGAGAAGAAATCATCATAATTCGAGTACTATCGACAACTCCCATGGCCATCTCGATCATCCGAGACCCCCCAATTTTCATTTTAGACCCCAAGGTCTTTATCGGGGACTCCCAAAGCATCGTTGGAGACCAATATAGTTTCTTCGGTAATCCATTGGAGACCCCCAAAATTTTTCAGAGTTCTACAGACTTCTGTTTGAGACCCTGAATTACGTAATACAGGCCAAGACATCAGCCACTCTGAAATCTTGATAGAAGCCCCCAAAACGAGTATTTGGTCTCCATTGAAAAGTCTGGGTGTCACATGAAAATTCCTTCTATGAAATTCTTAGGATATTTGATGAAAAGCTTTGTCTCGAATAATACTCCAATGATGGTTATTTCTTTACGGACTCATAAGATAACTACGTCTCTAGTTTTATCAGTGAGTACTAAAAAATCCCTAAAAAATCAATGTTTTCTTAACTATTTTCGAAAATATAATATTTGAAAAGCCTGTGAAAACCTCTCTGAACTTTCAATACTAAAATATCCTTCATTGCATTTTCCTTTTCTAAAAAAATAGTTTCCATTTATTTATCTTCTTTCTGCTTGCACTTTTCATGACAATTCAGCCTATTTTTTAAATCATTATTTAATCAAAGTGAGTGCTAGATACTTTTACAGAACTTAGTGTAGACTAAAATACTTAATACTGTGGAAAAATCTTATCAGGAAGATTTTTCATGGCTTAACACATTGAACCTAAGTTACTCCAACAATTAACCTTGAACTGATATCATTCGGAGGGCCTGGTGAATTTTTCGAACGACACCACGAAAATTTTCTGAATAAAATTTTTTTTAAAGCTATAAAATGTCCTCTGTTTCGTCAAGATTCTAATATCATTTATTCTTTGCAAAATTGCTGAAAATAGAAAAATTTAATAACATCATCACGAAAAAGACATTGAAATTAAATAAGACGTCACTACAAGTGTAATATTAAATTCTTTTTGTTTTTATTTTTCTATTGTAAAAGCTAGAAGCTCTAAGTTCCGCCCAAAACTGTCCGCCACTGCTATAAAAGTTTAAATTCATTTAATTAATTGTAATTTTATCTCAAAAGTATAAAGAAAATTCACAACTAATTGGGCCAATCAACAGTTTTCCGGGGGCGAATTTAAGCCTGTTCACTAACTATTGGAAGCAAGGGTAGAAAGTCAATATAAAAATCTATGCGAAGTTTCTGTCTTTATTGTCATGCAATCAACACTGCTACCCCCCCCCCCTTTGCTTCCAATTTACCACTTATCCATACCCTTTCTTATCTTTTTCTACCTATTACTTTGAATTATCCCACTTACACCTTTCTTTGTCAACACCATGTTTTTAATTAAAAGATGGTTCTACTTTTCTAGTGCAATCTCAACTAAAGTAACACCAAAGTTTTCATTAATGACTGGCCACTGCTTAATGCAAAACAAATGTCACTTTATTAAATCCTCACACCAATGTTCGCTTTTTAAAACTTCATGCTCCGAGATCCTGTCTCCTAATGGTTAATGAAAGCCTTGTGTGCAAAGTGTATAATTTACATATTAAATAAAGAATATAAACTCTCAATATATCGATTCCTTTCTTGGTCATCACGAAACCTCGATTAGAAAAATCAAAGAGTAGGAAGGAGAGAATACGAATAAAGTAAAAATAGATAACTTTCGAAAACAAATGGGAAACAGGGTCAAGTGTAACGTACTGAACGATCTAAGTCCTAATTTTTATATATAAATTAAAAATCATATCTAAGGGGGCGAGGGGCGGTGCCCTACTCGGGAGGGTCACATGGGACAACTGTTAGTTGCCTTCCCTCTCCCTTACGAACCTGACTGGTGGGAGGGGCACAACAATTTGGTAAATTTTTTGTGTCGAATAATAAGTAAATGCCATGCGTTGTATTATAAAAACTCTATTTCACATGCTGAGTAAAAAATTAATGAATTATATGCAAATGTTAAACAGAGGTTTTTAATTCATAAATTTCCATCTCAAGAAACTTAGTTTTTCTATGGATAAGGGGGTGGGGTATATGCCACACCTATTTGTCATGTACGGTTATAAAAAAAACTTGGAATGTTCATTATTACAATTTTGAACCCAATAAAGGTTATTGATTTTCCGATTAATGATAAATAGACCAACACCATCAAATGTCAATGAGTGAACTCTCGGTAAGAGAGTTACATCTGGGTAGAGTTACCTCTAGGTAAGAGAGTTAACTCTATAGGTAAGAGAGTTAATTCTTGGTATAAAATTTAACTCTAGGTAAAAAATTTAACTCTTCGAAAAGAGAGTTATTTCTAGGTATAAAGGTGAACTCTAGGTAAAAGAGTTGACTGTAGGTAAGAGATTTAATTCTAGGTATGTGAGTTAACTCTAGGTAAGAGAGTTAACTCTAGGTAAGAGAGTTAACTTCTAGGTATAAAGGTGAACTCTAGGTAAAAGAGTTGACTGTAGGTAAGAGATTTAATTCTAGGTATGTGAGTTAACTCTAGGTAAGAGAGTTAACTCTAGGTAAGAGAGTTAACTCTAGGTAAGAGAGTTAACTCTAGGTAAGAGAGTTAATTCTAGGTAAGAGAGTTAACTCTGGGTAACAGAGTTAACTTTAGGTAAGAGAGTTTACTCAAGGAATAAAAGTTAATTCTAGGTAAGAGAGTTAACAATAAAAGAGTTAAAAATTGTAAATCAATATCCGATTAAACATAAAGCTAAACATCCAAATCCAAATGACCAGTGGTTAGAAATCCCATCCAACATTAATCAACATCAACATAATGTACCGTTTGAGAAAGATATCCAGACAACATTTTTTTCATACACAGAATTTGCACTCTAGATCAATTTACCAGATAGATCTAAGAGGAACAGTAAACTTTGTTTCTACCTTCCAGAGAAAGAGAAAAACAAAATTTCAATCTCGTGCTTCATCTCCTCAGGTGGATGGAGATGATAGACACTTAAACATCGAGTCTGAACCTGACCCTAGCCTTGAACCTGAACCTGTTTATGAATTTGAACCGGAACCCAGCCTTGAACCCGAACCTGATCATGAACCTGAACCTGAACCATAACCTGAAACTGTGTTTGACCTCGAGGAGCATGAAACAGAATTTGAGAGATAATTTCGAAGTTCAAAAACTTTAAAATATCATTGCGCCTTTGTAGAGAATCTTAAAACTTAAAAACATGTAATATGCTATAATTTTCTGCGATAATTAAACCCCGATATGATATTTAAATGTATTTATAGTAAATAATAAATATTTAGATCTGTCAAATTCACCAGATTTTGTGTTCTGATGAAATAGTAACACAGAAACTATTTTAGCTAATGAGATCCTGTATCCGTTGTGAGGCATCCTTTTTTAAATGATATAAATGAATCGTAAACACGTCTTAACTTACAGACATTATAACACTGCTTCAAGGTTGTACGCTATGATTACTAAGATCCAAAGTAATACAGAAGCGTCACGACTTTTTTGAGTTCGCTTGCATACTCAATGAAATTAAACAGCCAATTAATCTTTCCATACAGCACTCCATAGTTTCTGCAAAGTGACGACGATTATTTTAACTGTACAGGGTACAATTTAGTGCAAAAAGCCTTTTTTGTACAAGCATGCAACATAAAGTTTGCTGTACATAAATTTTGACAACTCATGTACAGGGTACATGCGTCTACCTTGGGTAGGAGTTGTACACGGAGAATGAATCTGAATTGAGATATTCTCTGACACTTGTGTTATCCTCTTAGGTCTCCTAATTTTCTGTAAACTAGGTCCGCTAACTAATAAATCATGCAGCTTAGGAGAATTTATCAAGTCTCTATTTCTACCACTAGAACTACTGTCGACAGAAAAAGCGAAGTCTTTCTCTGAAAAATCTGATTTGACGGATTCGTCATCCTCGAGATCTGCTAATAATTCTTCTTTAATCTTGGTATAGTCATCCGCTAATTTGTTTATAGAATCTAGTGTTATACTGTACTCACTTGTATTTCCCATTCCACCAGGACCATCCATACACTCCTAAACAATATCGAATAAAAGTCCTGTTTTTGAATTAAAACAAGGCCAAGATTGAAATTTATAAATCATTTCAAAGATTTTAGATTGAACTTTTTTTTTATTTGTAATTGAGAATTTAATCACCAGTTTTCTAATTCTTATTTGCTTTTAAATCTGGTATAAAAATGATATAACAAACCGATTACAGAACTAGAAAATAATATTGTTTTTGACAATGATTGTTAGATTTTGAGAATAAATACATGTTGAGTCAAAAAAATTGTGATTTGCGGCGCCTGGTGCAAAATTAAACCTTTATTTGTGCAACACTCCTGTACTTTTTTGGTACTTCATTGGCCCAAAAAAAATCTGCGAACCTTTTTTTCTCTCAAAATCAAAAGTTCAGAAAAACAAATATAAATGTAAATAAATTGTATCTATAGAAATCTAAAATCTTAAAAAGATTGAATTACAGAATCTCAGAAAATTAGAAAAATCGCAATTTTCAGTTCTGGTATAATATTTAAGGAAAAATAGTTATTTCAATGGTTCTTAAGGTTTCAACTGAACAGCATATATTTAATACTTTAGAATATACTAAGAAGAAAGGAACTAGAGAATTTAAATTACTTTTCATTAAAACTTAGACCAGAACTAAAAATTGCGAATTTTCTATAATTCTTTGATTTAATCTTTAACAAATTTTAAATTTCGATAGAAATAATTTATTTACACATTTTTGCTATTCTAAACTTTTGATTTTGAGAGAAAAAAGGTTCGCGGATTTTCTTTTCAGCCATTGGAGTATCAAAAAAAAATTTTCAAATTTTCAAACAATATCGAAAAAACATCATATAGGAGAGTTGGCAAAAAAAGGTACAATTTTGCACCGGGCGCCGCAAATCACACTTTTTTTGACTCACCCTGTATATTGAAAACTTAATCTTTTATTTTAGAAATCTTTGATTTTTAGAACGTATGAAACTTACATTGTCCAGGTTTAAATCACTGCCATAGGGATTATCACAGGTATCAGGACTGAGTCTTCTTAAATATTATTTTTGTCTTTTTATCTAATATATGTTTAAGTAAATGTATAAGACATAAGTTATTTTCACAAATTTTCTTTAAACCCTATAAAAAAGGCTTTTCAGTGCATCGTATTTAATTCATCCCCATTTTCTAATAACAATTTTCCCATTTGATTGTTTTCTCGTCAATTTTTATTTCTAATATCTTTCTCGGATTTTTCTATTCAAAAGAATTGAGTCCTTGCTACAACATCAAATTTTCTAATCCTTATATCTTTACAACCTGATTCCGTAAAAATTTGATATTTCAATTCTAGATTATTTTTTCTATCAAAATTTAAAGTTTGAAAATCTAAGGTCTACGACAAATTGGGTTGTAAAAATATAGGGATTATAAAATCAAAGTTTGTAATTAAGACTCAATTCTTTTGCACTTTTTCAAAAATAAGAAATGTCGACATTTTTTTGGCAAAATTTGTCATCTTTAACCATCAGTAATCCTTCCCTGTAGTCATGTGAGTTGCCAAAAAAAATTTAGCCCAATCTGTTCAGCCGGTTTTACGTTTATTGGATACACATGACAAATAAAAACAGACAAGCTAGACAAGCTAAGTAGATTGAGACAGAGAAAGGATTAATTTTTTTATAACAAATTACAACATTCGTGTGCCAAATTTTGACATACAGAACTTTAGTTTACGGATACATTTATATTCACTTTTTCATTTAATATTTTAGATTTTATAACCTTTACACGTTTCACAATTTATAACCTGTGTTTTCAGGAATTTTCTGCTGTTAGCTTAATTTATAATGTAAACAAACATGTTTATACATAACTTGTTATACTTACAATATTATAAGCCCAGAATATAACATATTATTATTATTTTTTAGAATTTATATATATACTTTCCTTGTCTGTCTGTTTGTATTCAATAAACATCATAACGTCTGAATCGGTCGGGCCCAAATTTTGTGGGGACCTCCCATGACCCCAGCGAAAGTTTATAAATTACTAAAACTTGCATACAAAACCTTTAGATTTTTATCAAATTTTAAAAATGTGAGAAAAAATATTTTAAAATCCGCAAACTTTTTGTGTTTTGTTTTATACTGTACAAAGAGCAGATGCAAAATTAAAAGTCAAAATAGAGGAGAAGCGCCATAAAACCCTAGTACTAGATATATTTGTGAATATTCAATCTTAAATTTGAAAAACGATAAACTGAACGACGAAATTTTAATTAAAACGAAAACGATCGTTTTTTGTTTCGTTGTTGACTTTTCAATAAAAACAAAAATTCGTCTAAACCTCACTGACAACACTGTGCTGTGTGCATGAAGGGGAGAACAATCTGCGTCTGCACGCTTTTTTCTCGTTAACCCTATCTCTGCTGGGGTACTTGAAAACCAGGATATGCTGGGGGGGGGTCAATTTTACCCCCCCCCCTCTAAATCCCATGTTTGATGTCCAAATATGACAAATGATACATCATTGGAAAGCTCTTGTGCTCTACTTTTAGAATCTGCAAAAAAATTTGCAAATTTGCAAAAATTGAATTTTTTATCGCAAAATCCAGTTATATAGTAAAAATGTTTGCAAAAATAAATTTGTCCAAAAAATGAAAAATTATACATTTTTGAAAAGCCCTTGACCATGCTATTTCAAATATACAAAATTTTTTGCAAAATTTTAAATAACCTGAATTTTAATCAAGAAAAACTAAAAATGTGCAAATTTGATTTTGACAGGTTGTTTGCAAAAAATTGCAATTTTTTTCTCGCAAAACTTGTGCAATTCGTTTCCTTATGTCAAAGGCTTTCCAAAAAGCTAAATTTTATCAAAATCTGACAAGTGGAAGTGGATCAAAACAAAGATTTAGTTTGTTACAGGAAAAAGCAGTCATTCAGGCAGTGTGCCTGAGGACTCAGGCAGTTAGTATTAAAGCCCATTTTTAGGCCTAAAGGGAGTGCTATGGGTATGTAGGAAAAGTCAGAAAATTTCAACAGCCTCAGACCAATACTTTTCTAGTTATGTAAAAAAACTACCCCCCCCCCTGCAGGAATAGGGTTAAATGGTATTTTACTAAAAATAACCTACACGTTACTTATGGTTTGAGCTAGATTTTTCTGTATTTCTTAATGCAAAAATTATGATCTTGTGTGTTTTCAAATATTCCTTATTAAAAACAGGATAATAGCTTACTGTTGGCAGTCTCCTGAAGGCCCAAAAGGCACACTCCCGTTGGGAATAAATCCATTTGGTCCATGCTCCCTGCTGAACTGAGGATCCTGAGGTCCATGCTCCCTGCTGAACTGAGGATCCTGACTGGACGGTCCATTGTATTGTCCGTAAACCATATTGTTGTTCATAAAATTTTGCTCTGGTCCCATAATACCTCCATTTTGGTCAATATCTATTGGTTGTCCCATCATTGATTGATTTTGGTGCGTTGCTTGATTCTGGCCTATCATCATGGCTTGGTTGGGTCCATTCATTGGCGGGCCCATCATTGGTTCAGGATCCATCATCGGCTGATTAGGGTTCATCATATTGTTTCTCTGGTTCATAATTGCAGGGTCTTGATTCATTACATTATTTCCTTGATTCATCATATTGTTACCTTGATTCATCATATGGCTACCTTGATTCATCATTGAAGGGTCTTGATTCAACATATGGTAACCTTGATCCATCATTGGAGGGTCTTGATTAATCATATGGCTTCCTTGATTCATCATAGAAGGGTCTTGATTCATCATACGGCTTCCTTGATTCATCATTGAAGGGTCTTGATTCATCATACTATTTCCTTGGATCATTAAAGAAGAGTCTTGATTCATCATGGAGTTATTTTGATTCACCCTTAAACTGCTTTGATTCATCATATTGTTGCCTTGATTCATCATATTGTTGCCTTGATTCGTCATATTGTTGCCTTGATTCATCATAGAGGGGTCTTGGTTCATCATTGATTGATCTTGGTTCATCATAGAGGGGTCTTGGTTCATCATTGATTGATCTTGATTCATGGGTGGATTCTGTCGCATCATCGATTCATCTTGATTAGTCAACAGTTGATTTTGTCCTGGCATTTGCTGGTTGGGGTCTGCATTGAACTGATTTTGGTCTATTTGATTGTATCCTTGTGGTTGTAAGGTATCCTGGGCAGCTTTATTCATAACCTAAAATTAATAAATTTAAGCCAAAGTTTAAAAATTAAAATAAAAAAGGAAATTTTTTAAAAACATTAACATAATTAAGTTTTGGCTACAAAAATTCCCAGAAAACATATTCTTTAATCTTAATTCCATTCTTTCGGAAAGTAAATTCTTAATTTGAACGGATCGAAACATAGATGTAGTACACTGTACAAGGATTGAGTCGTACATATGATGATATTTAGTGTTGATGAAATTAACGTTTAACATCATGCTCATTATATTGCATTCGTTACTTCATGGGACATTTTTTCAACTTTTTTGCAAAAGATTTGATCAATTAACAACTTTTTAACAATGTTTAATAAACACCTGCTCAATATGTTGTCTCTCTTGTTGGTTTAACTGTGTCAGATCTACCTGAGGATTGGAGTTGTTCTGTTCTTGACCAGCAACTCCTAAAATAAAATGATTTTATTGGTAGGAATAAATAATTTTCTTGAATTTTTTCAAAAAGCAATGAATAGCTCCTATTAAAGTAAAAAAGTTGACATCTTATTTTTTTTCAATATTGAATCAGCGTAACATACTTTGACAGTATTTTAACCAAAACACCAGATAACTAACAGAACTTTGCTTCCGTTATACCACAGAGAGATTAATTCATCTCTGAAAATACAGAGAGATGATGAGAAGAAAAGGTTTTTTAATTTATAGATGTGTAGAAAGATCTGGTATATTGAAAATAAAAAATAAATAAAATTTTAACATAATTTTCCATTTAGTAAGTTTTTAAATAATTTTTAGTAGATTTTCCAAAAATTGCGAGTTCGATAACCTACTGAGCTGAAAAAAACGCTGAACGTTTCTAAGAAAAGGAAAAACTTCTTCAAAAGCATTGATCAAAGGTGTACGTGTTAATCATTGCTCCTTTTAACAAAAAGCTCAAGCTCAAGTTCATCAACATGTCAACTCCTATCATCCTCCCCGACTCGGAGGCTCTCATCCAGATAAAGGAGGCTAGCAGAAAAAACTATTTAAGACCGTTTGGACAGCTGCGGAAGTTTGTTGGTGAAGATTTTTCAACCAGAAGAACTTCTCCAATATTTCAAGCACCTCAGAGAAGATAAAAAAATGGCATCTTCTAGCCTATGGACAACATATTCCACTAACCGGAGTAAACCGGGCAGAGGTGAAACCAGGGGCATAGGATAGATAGATAGAATGATAGATATATAGATAGATAGATAGATAGATAAAGTGTATTGCTAAAATACATGTATCTGTGTACAGAACGAGTTTACAATTACAAATTGATGATTATTTTAACAGTACAAGTATAAAGCATTTAGGTGGGAAATAGCTTTTGGCTGTTTTGATTATTTTTCCCACCTAATTTCAATAATAATAACAAAATATTTCAATTAAACAGAGAGGAGAGGAGAAATAGTAGAGATCAGGGTGCGATTTTATCTTAAGTGTTTATACATTTGTTATAATAACTAGAGTTAAAAGTAATTTTCTGACATGTACACAACAAATATTAAAGCATATTAAAACACATCTGATTAGATTTACATGAATAGCAATTCGGTTTATGACAAATTGTAATTCAATTTTCAAACCTAGAATTTAGAAGTGTATCGAGGGTAGTCATGTCAAAAATGAGTGAAGACTATAATTGTCCAGACTTATCAGCCTGTGACCGGTGACCACTCGATAGCGGGCAAAGGGTCAGTCTCTGGTCACCGCCCAAAAAAAGCAAACTGTCTAAATAGGCAGTTGGGTAAAATTTTTTCTAAAACCCATGACGAGGCTTTGAGGATGAAAACTAAATTGTTTGCTAAAACGTAAATTACAACTTTAACAATCCTGAAGGACCATTATACAATATAAGATTTAGCCTCCTTTGTCTTTTTTAAGTTACCAAAACTCTAGAACACGACTAAATAGTTTGAGTCTAGAGACAGAGATATTTAGGCTGTGACAAGTGTTTGTGGCTCCAGAGATGGAATTTAAAGAATTTGAGCCGCGGTTTAAATCCGCCAAAATCCGCCAAAACCCGGTTTAAATTTGGCGCCGGCTTAAATCTTGAAACATTTGATACAATTTAAAGTGGAACCAACCATATTTAAGCCGCGGCTTAAATTTAAACCGCCGCTCAAATTCATTAAATTCGGCCATAGGAGACATAACTTGGTCCGAAAAATTGATCGGAGTAAAGTTTGAAGAAAAAAATTAAGAGCTGAGACGGGAGGAAAATGTTCACAAAACTTAGTATCATACCTCGTACATCCCCCCCCCCCTACCCCAAGTGCTTAGACTTTACCATGTCTAACAATACATAATTGTATTTATCATCATTCTCTGTTGCAGAAGAGAATGCACTTTTACTTAAAATTAAACTAATGTACATCTGCCAGGATTATACAACTATTTTTCAAATCAATTTTTAAAAAGAATTTCCTACGTTTAATCCCCTTAATTAATCATTTTAGTAGCATAGGTCCAAAATTACATAAAATCCTTTAAAAACATTAATATAGGGCTGTTATTAACTGTAGAGATGTGTTGTAACTGTACAAAGTTTCCTAGTGTCCTGGGGTTCTATTAATAATTTATATATGTCTTGTGTTCTTACGATTTCTTTATCTTTAGATGTTATGCAAAGTTATTCGATCGTGCATATATAAGTTTTTATAAGTAACGAAAGAAACATTAAATACTATCCTTGGTAATATTTGAGTTTTAATACACAATACAATCCAGGGAAAATTTAATTTAGTGCAGAACAACATTCATGCGACATAGTAAAAAAAACGTATTTAACTGAATTTACTTGACTTTTGATAAATTAGCAATGAAAATAAAAAATTAAATCTGGAAATCTAGCTGATTATTTAATAACTGTAGTAGAGACAACAAAATATTAAATACAGTGTACGATGATTTCAGGGGAAAAAGGCCTGCAATAGTAGGATTCAGTGGGGGAAACTTATTAAAGGAAAAAAGTATAGATCAGTTTTAATAACTATTTATTTGACGTTAAGCAATCAAAAAAAAAATCGGTAAAAATTGTCAAAAAGTCAATATTTTTTTTATGAAATCCCAAGAAGGTTCACAGTATCAAATTAATCAAACTAATTTAAAGGACACTCCAGTGGTATGATATATTGACAAAGGTATATTTGGAAGTATGAACTGAATATCGATATTTTCGTTTTTGAAAACTAATTATTTTCATTTTATATATTTTCTCTTTACAAAAAGATTTGCGAATTTTTGCTTTAGAAACAATGGAGAAATTGACGTTTTGATTTTACACTTTTCAAGCTAGAAAATTTACGTTTAACATCGCTGAATAGATTAAGGTATTAAAGGTACCCATTGTGAATTGGACATGTTCCTTTTAAATGAAGGATCACTAGAAACTACAACAATTGTATAAGCAATGCAAAGCAGAGGTTATTGGACATTGTATAAAAGATTCTACAATTTCGAAATATTTTCTTCACTTTTAATTTCTGGCTTCTCAGAACCTTGAGATAATATATACTTTGCTGAACTATACACATAGATAAAAGAGATTAAAGAACAAAGGAAAGAGTAAACTAACAATGCAACCACAGAACAAAATAATTTATTTTTATTTTTTTATTTTCTTGTTATACAAAAGTGGATTTATAAAAAACACTTGATAGTAAAAAGACTTTAATAGTGTAAAGCCAAAAACGAGAAATATATAAAAATAGTGATTTAAAAAAAATTTTGATTTGAGCTTTTTAAGTTATGCATAGAATATATCACGTCAAGGTTTGTATAGTATTTAAATAATATTTCTGCTCTAGACAAGTATGTAGACGGGAAAACTGAACAAATATATATATTCACTATGGAACTGATGATGGTTCTGTTGTATGAATATATATAAGTATCAATATTCCATCTATTAATACAAATATAGATATATCAATATATAAAGCGAGATGAGGCCCTGCATACAGATTATTAAGCTAATCCGTGAAAATAGCATACATCAATTCACCGCATCAATAGACTTTTCCCCTAACAAAATCTGCACAAAACAATAAATCAATTTAAATAGAACCGAATGCTAATCTATAAAATATCAATCTTAAACTTGACATGATGACTTTAAAAGCCCAATAATAAAAATAAATAAAAAATAGTAAGACAAATTAATGTTTAATGATCCAAAACTAGGTCGAAAGTTAGAGCTTGTCTAGAGTTGGATATAAGTGGATATATTTCAGAATAGATTTACTCAAGCAATTATTAATGCACTAATCATCAGTCCTGTTTCGGCAGTTTTTTAGAAATTTACTCTTAAGAGACTTTTACATTTTACACAGAACCAGCTAGGGAGGGTAGGAAGGCCAACCACAACAATTTCTAGTCCGAGCCACATTCTCCTCATTTTCTCGTCTGAGCCACCTCAAAATCCTAGTCCTTCCAATAATATCTTTTTTAAATGTCCAACCCTTGCAGATACAAATAATTTTTGAAAATCTGGCATTGCTAAGGCAAAATTATTACATTAAATTTTCGCTAACAAACTTTAAATTTGTGAAAAATTAATATGTTTTGTAAACGATGTTCTGCAAATAAGCATCTCTATCAACTTGGAAGGACGAGAATTGCGAGGTGTGTCGGACGAGAAAATGAGGAGTATGTGGCTTGGACGAGAAATTTTTCCACTTGAGCAGCAAACTGCTGAAAGAAGGAGCTGCGGTAATGCCGCAACTCATTCTGAGCACTATTTGGAGACACTCTTCGCTTCTTTAAATAAAAATTTCAAATTTGGATTAACGATAAAAATACTGTTTGAATTTATAGGGTTGTGATGAGTAAATTGTAGGAAATGATTTAAATAATTAAAATTTCACATATTATCTTCTTGGATAAATTCATGTGACAAGATTTGGAATGCTATATACTTTGGAGAAAAAAACTCAGCGGGAGCGGTTGAACCAGCGGTTGAGATCTAGCCTAGACTCTACGCAGTTCAGAATAAGAAATGCATCTTTTTTTCTCAAATTTAAAATTTGTTCAGCCGCTAGCTTTTCTGATTTCAACCGCTGGTTTTCAGATTTTTCAGAACTTTTTTGCTTTCAACCGCTGGTTTAAAGATTTTTCAGCAACCTTTTGCTTACAATCGTTTTCAGATATTTCAGCAACTTTTTTGCTTTCAACCACTGGTTTAAAGATTTTTCAGTTAATTTTTTTTCAGCAACTTTTTAAGTTTCAACCGCTGATTTAAAGATTTTTCAGCAACTTTTTTGCTTTCAACCACTGGTTTAAAGATTTTTCAGCAATTTTTTTTTCAGCAACTTTTTAACTTTCAACCGCTGATTTAAAGATTTTTCAGCAACTTTTTTGCTTTCAACCGCTGGTTTAAAGATTTTTCAGTTAATTTTTTTTCAGCAACTTTTTAACTTTCAACCGCTGATTTAAAGATTTTTCAGCAACTTTTTTGCTTTCAACCGCTGGTTTAAAGATTTTTCAGCAATTTTTTAACTTTCAACCGCTGACTTGAAGATTTTTCAGCAACTTTTTTGCTTTCAACCGCTGGTTTAAAGATTTTTCAGCAACTTTTTGCTTACAACCGTTTTCAGATATTTCAGCAACTTTTTTGCTTTCAACCGCTGGTTTAAAGATTTTTCAGCTAATTTTTTTCAGCAACTTTTTAACTTTCAACCGCTGATTTAAAGATTTTTCAGCAACTTTTTTGCTTTCAACCGCTGGTTTAAAGATTTTTCAGCAAATTTTTTTTCAGCAACTTTTTAACTTTCAACCGTGAGTTTAAAGATTTTTCAGCAAATTTTTTTTCAGCAACTTTTTAACTTTCAACCGTGAGTTTAAAGATTTTTCAGCAAATTTTTTTCAGCAACTTTTTAACTTTCAACCACTGATTTAAAGATTTTTCAGCAATTTTTTTGCTTTCAACTGCTGTAAAAAAGTTGCTGAAAAATCTGAAAACCGGCGGTTACAAGCAAAAAAGTTGCTGAAAATTCTTTAAACCAGCAGTTGAAAGCAAAAAAGTTGCTGAAAAATCTTAAAATCAGCGGTTGAAAGATAAAAAGTTGCCAAAAATCTTTAAACCAACGGTTAAAAGCAAAAAGTTGTTGAAATATCTTTAAACCAGCGGTTGAAAGTAAAAAAATTCTGAGAGATCTGAAAACCGGCGGTTACAAGCAAAAAAGTTGCTGAAAAATCTGAAAAACAGCGGTTGAAATCAAAAAAGTTGCTGAAAAATCTGAAAACAGTTGAAAGCAAAAAAGTTGCCGAAAAATCTTTAAAACAGTGGTTTAAAGCAAAAAGTTGCTGAAAAATCTGAAAACCAGCGGTTGAAAGCAAAAAAGTTGCTAAAAAATCAGAAAACGTTATTCATGAAAAATTATATTTCATTTGTTCAAAAAATGCGATTTAGCGGTTGAACAAATTGTAAATTTCTTCTTAATTTCTTAATCTGAACTGCGTAGAGTCTAGGCTAGATCTCAACCGCTGGTTCAACCGCTCCCGCTGAGTTTTTTTCTCCAAAGTATATATCATTCCTTAAAATTTCAAATATAAAGATTCTAATTTCTAGTAAATTGATGATAGATCATTCAACATGATCATGCATCTTGTCCGGCGAAAATTTTTGTCCGAAAGCAAGAATTAAGTATTTTTAAAGGTAAATGTTGGAGTGAATGTTTATTTTTTTTTAAATTATCCATAGGTTAACATGTTAGTTAATTATAACTTCTTCTAGATTTTAACAATCAAGTGAACAACAGTTTCAAATAAGAATAATAACATATTTTTAAACTCCAAATTGAACACTAATAAGATATATTTGACCCCTAACAAACTTTACATTATGTGTCTAAACTTCAAAATGATATAGGGGATTGAGTCTAGCTTTGTCACAAATTCTGATTTTCTAATCCCTAGACCTCAACAACCCAATTTCTGGTAACTTAGATATTTCATTTTCAAACTATTATTTCTGTTAGATCAAATAATCTAAGTTTGAAATATCAATGGTTCACACCATCAGGTTGCAAAGATAGAGATTAGAAAATGAGTTTGTGGCAAAGACTTGATTCCTTTGTTAAGGTTGAGGGAAGTGAACGGCTGAGTATCCAGGCCAGGTTTCTACTGGATGGTGGAGGAGGTTCAGAACTAGAGTTCCTGGATACTCATCTTATACTTCCTCCTCCACAGGTACATAAGGATTTCCATCGGTTTGAGGCCCATTTCTAAAGGGACAGACCGGCTACGTAAGATAGGTGAACTGAGTATGTAGTGTTGTGGACAAATTCTTTAGGATTCATTTGAGACATATGAAACTTTAAAAAAATCTGTGAATCCCGAGTTTGAGCGCAAAGTCGACGTTCAAAATAAATCGTACTTTTGAGTGGATATGTTTTTAGATTTTTTTTTTTTAATTCTTAAATAACGACGACAAAAAATGTAAACAAAATTCTACAGTAAACTAATTAGTTGTTTAGGTACAGGTTGAGTAAATAAAAATTAATCTTATAATCGTAAATAAGCAACCTTTTTCAATTTTTAGTTTCTATGTTTCTCATTATTCTAGTTTCTCATTATTGACAAAGATTTTCTGCAGATTTTCTGGAATTATTATTGAAAAGATGACATTTGAAGAATTTGTAGAAATCTGCGAAAAAAATTATAGAAAATAAGAAATTAAATATAGTGATGAAAATGAAATAATTGATTCTAGCATTGATTTATTGACAAATTTCTTTTGAGAAATATGTTCCTAACCATCTAATTAGTTTATGTAATAATTTTAAAAAACCAATTCTGAAAAAGTATCCTCCCAAATTCATGATTTTGAACGTCGACTATGCACTCAAACGACTCAAACTCGGTAATTATATATCGTGGAAAAGTTTAATATGTCTCAAATGAATCCTAAAGAATTTGTCCACAACACTGCATACTTAGTTTATCTTCCTTACATAGCCGGTCTGTCCCTTTAAACATTCAAAGTTTTTAGACTTTTTAAATTTGTAAAGTCATTTTCCGTTTTAAAAAATAGTTTTGGTCAATATCTTTAATCAGAGTAAAATTTAGCTTTGTGTAAAAAAAGCAAACATGTCTAGTATGCAACATAGAAACAGGATTTTCATTTTATTTTTATTGTGAAGCCTTTAAAATTAGCCTAAAACTTTGAATGTTTTAAAACGGACCCCAAAACGATGGACATCCTATTAATAATAATAAATACGAAAGACACATTTCTATTCCATGATCGCGGCTTCAGAAGTCTTAATACAAATGTAGAATTGTAGAGAGTAAATTTAACTTTTTTAAGGAGAACTGTCTGCCTGTAAGGTTGGGTGCGGGCCCAGGATGGATTGCAGGGGCGTGTCTACTAGGTCTAGGCGTGGCTAGCCTGGTAGTATCTGTAGCTATAGTGAAGTCAAGGAGTGGAAGAGGGAGCGGGATGGGTAGAAGGATAAGACGCAGGTTTATGCCAAGGAATAATACAGGTAAAAATAGTGTCTCAGATAATTAGAAAACTCTGGAATAGGAAGCCGACTTTTAGACTCAAGTTATGACTTCAAATAGTCCAATGAACATGAGGCACAGTAATTGTGCATTGTAAATAGGCGCATTTCCTGTTATAAGTGATTTATTAATCTAAATAAAGCTATTTGCTTTTTAACAATATTAAAAACACTTTAGTATTGCTGAAATGTCGTCTTTCTATTCTATAGTTTTCTGGTTATCACTGTAGGAGTAAAAATAGACCCTTCTGCTTTAATCATCTTGGGTTTATAAATTCAAAAAGAGAAATAATTTTTAAACTCGATCACTTAACCCCCTTTTTGAAAAATCATAAAGAGGTTTTAAATGTCCTCTAACCTTTGACTGATCATCGTCGATGAGAACTCCGCATGTTTATCTCTAAATTGGTGTTTAAATTGTCTTTAAAATATGAGTTCAACACAATCATTCAAATTACAATATTTATTTTCTGAGATTTCTGGAAACTAAATATTATTAGTTCTAAGTATAAAATGTCAGAACAGCTTGCAAAGTAATGTATCAACAATTACAAGCATTTCTGTAGAGAAATAAGGATACTTTAGAGAGTTATTCTTCATCATTCACAGGTTAAAAGCTACTTTACAAATGGAGGGTCACTTGAAATGAAGTCTTTGAGAGTTGATAGATATTTACTTTTTAGACGGCACTGTAGTACAGTACGTTGTTCCAGCTGAGGTGCCCTCTGACCTCAAGGTGTACATATCAACCTCAGACGGCCTCCAACCTGCCCCGGCATTACATGAGAAATTGGGGAGTCCGGCCGAGGAGAAAACAAAAGATCGTCTAACAGCCGACGATCTTGTGACCGGGATTACAAACCACGGTTATATATCGGAGGACGAGGTTGGGAGACCGGAGGACAAGATAAACGAAGTTCCAGGAGGTTCTGGAGGATTAATCTTGGGACAATTATCATTAAAGGATGACGAGGAACAGGGTTCTCCGAGTATTTTATCCAATAATAATCATGTTAAACTTGATTTATACTCAACAGGAGCTATTCCAAAGAAAAAACTGGAGACCTGAATGGTTTCTTTTGAACGATATTAAATGTATTACCAAAGTTACTAAGTTAGTGCTATATGTACATTGTACATGAAAAACATTGAAAATTCATTCTGTAACCAGTAATTTGATAATTTGTGATTTATCAGGATTTGTATTTTGTTTGTTTATAAACGGCTCTTCATAAACCCCCCTGTTTGAAAACCAGTGTATATGTGTAAAGAAATTTCGTATAAACATTCTACTAAATCGATGAAGTATTATTTGTGTAAAAAAAAATTTTATCACAATTTTTTATTACAATTCATTTCAACATTAACAAGTACATCTTTTACATACATGGTTATCCACAATGTTCTGAGACTTCGGAGACAACTTTACAGAATCTAAACTGTCTGTTTGCTCAGGGGAGGAAGTCCAGCCACAACTTTTAGTCTGATATATTTTGCTGTTTATTTTATATCGCAAAGATTAGCCATTACGGAGGCAGAAGAGATTTAAGTTTTACCTAAATAAAGTGTGACATCATTCAATCAATTCATATTGTATGCCCAAACGTGGAATGATTTAAAAAAAAATAGTTTTATCTTCAAGAATTAGAAACTTTATAACACAAAATAATCGAAGGACATGGATTTTGAGGTGACTCGGACGAAAAAATGAGACTAGGACGAGAAATTGTTGTGGCTGGCCTTCCTCACCACGTTTGCTTATATTTAAAAATCCCTATAAATGGAAACTTGTTTTTTTTTTCTTTGCCATATCATTAAATAAGCCATTGAAATACTATTTTGCAGACGACTTAATTTAATCTTAAAATCTTCATATTTCATGAGTTTCCGGTCGTCTTTAAGTCTCATCCTTTAAGGGTAACCCTGTATTTAAATCGACTTTACCATGTTTATTGTATATTTTTATGTGGACCCAATGTTAATAAATTAATGTTGTTAGTTTTTAACTATCAACGTTAAAATGTCTTGCCCCCCCCCCCCCTACAAAAAAGGGATTCTTGGGTTAAGGTTACGCTTTGGGTAGTTAGACAACGAGTTTCACGTAAAGGGGATTTTCTTCCTCTGAAAAGTAGTTACAAAACTAGATTGGGGAAGGGAATGGATCAGTGAAGGAAGAGGATCAGAGCTTGAGAATATCTGGCAGGCTGGCTATTTAAACAAACTGATTTTTTTGTGGCAACTCGAATGAACCCCCAGGAAAGGTTGATGGCTGTTCGAAATAGTAAATTTTGGTCTAGAAAAAATGTTGACTTTTACTAATTTTGAAATTCCACGAATTTAAAAAGATAAATCTGAGAAAACTTTCATTAATTAAAGCTCGATAAAATAATGGCGACTTGAAAAGCAACCGTTAAAAGCTTAAACTGTTATTAAAGAAAAGGCAAGGCTTCGAAAACTAGAGTTTGAGTTGAGGTATCAGTTCTTTTCTAAAAAATGTGAACTAGAATAAAAATGTTGTGCTATTTGTCCATTTTTTAAAGATAGAACCAAGGTAGACCACATTATGTATTGTTTGTTGGACGAGCAATAATTGTCTTATATTCTTCCTTATAATTCACAATCTTGCGAAAATTATGGACGATTTTTAAGCACGTTTTCTGGCAACAATTTAGAACAGATGGCATAGCAGACGAATAAAACTCTGATTTAGATCTAACCAATCTCAGTGTCGTGCATCAGTTCATCCCTGCTTTAACCATTTTAACTCTTCCAACACTATGTTAGGCATAATTTATTTAATTTATTGTTACATTCTGATTAGAAAACAACGGAGTTTTTTATGCGTATTAACTTTATAATCGTAATTCGATAGTTATTAATGTTTTATAATTTTTTTTTATTTCTAACATTACGTTTAAATAACCTTTCGAGGTGGATAAACGACACTTAAGACTCCGTTCCCAAAGTATGTCATTAGGACCTTTGGTCATACTTGAGGAACGGCCTTAGAACGCTTAAGGGTGCAGGCAGTGTTAATTAGTTTTAAACATGATGAAGTATAAATTATTAATTACTTAAGTAAATTTTAAATTGTTGAAGTTCATTAATAATTACTTGAGAAACTATTTAATATTCTAGAAGTTAGGTTCGTTATGTAGAATTCAAACTGGAGGCAAATATTCTAGAATAATTTATACCTTCAGCAGCCTAATAAATTATTATTTAATAAACAATATGAAGAAATGTAATTTGTGAAGTTTACTCCATATACTCTTCTCAACCTATGAAATAGGTACGAGCTTACTTCAGATATGTAGATTGTAGATATTTAACATTTTAGCTTCTTTAAGAACATTAGACCAAGTAAACATTAAAGTAGACATTAAAGTAAACATTAAAGTAAACATTAAAGTAAACATCAAAGTATACATTAAAGTTAACATTAAAGTATACATTGAAGTATGCATAAAAAGGACAAGCTCTTTAATCTCTGTTTACCATGAGTAAACCAATATTGAGCATCTGATCTAGAATGACTTGACAAAAAAACAGGATTATTAAGAAATGTTATTTATATTTTATTAAAAACTACAGAGCATACATTTTATAACCGCGACTAGGCATTTAGGTAAATTAATAACACATAATTTAAGTATCGTCATCAAAAGCGTCAACAATAAAATATTTTCATATAAATAATCGAAATTTTTCAATTCGAGGTAATATTGCAGGTTTGAACAGGGGAAATGTCCTTTAACGATCTCCTGTTCCCCCGGCAGAACTCTTGATTAAGATGGTTTAAAGAGCATATATTTACTACGTGGGTTGGATAATATCCTGAGATTTGAGATCATCATCAATTGTGGGATGTTTAATTAGGAACCTGTTTTAAAACCAACAACTTGTCATTTATATACTACTAGATCAGATCTAAATATCTGAACAGTCATCAGAAATATTAAAATATTAATAAGTTGTGAAGAATATTGGTTGTGTTCTGATAAACTGATAAACTGTGAGCGTGGTGTGTAAACTGTAAACTGTATAGTGTTCTATGTGCGGAAGATGGAGAGTTGAATTCGAATAAATTAAAGAGGAATTTCAAATTTAATATCGAGGTGAGCCTCTCTAGCCACAGCAACAATGTTGGACAGTTTGCAAGCCAACCTAGAATCGATTAATTAATTAATTAGTTAATTAACTCCAATCTAATGCATTCATTCATCAGGAGAAGTTTGGACACAAGTTACAACATTATTAAAGAAAAACAAAGTTGAACACAAGTAAGAATAAACACAGAAGGTTTGGGTATAATCATCAAAACATTTTAAGATAATAACTTATTATCTATCAATAGACGATTTAGATTTTTATGTCTTGACTTCCTGCATGAATCTTAATATGTATATGTGAGATTCTGCAGAATTTATACACAAATTCTTCTTGAATATTCATTAATTGAATCATTAGTCATTAAGTGGATTCGATTTTATCTCTAAAATATCTAAACCTAAAACATCAATTGACAAATAAACCGATCCAATAAGTTCACAATCAGGGCCTCACTATTTAAATCTCTTAATTTTATCTGTCAGGAATTTGACTGTGAGTATATGAACCAATCTACTGACCTGGCTGCCTCGTCGAGGTTATCAATGGGAAGAATTTTCAGTCCTGAGGATCCGATCATTACCTTTGCCTCATCAACATTAGTTCCCTAAACAGTTGATTATTCAGCATACAGAAACTATTTGTTAGAAAAGGTAGGCGAGGTGTAATACTTAAAAAGCAGGGTTCCCTTCCATCCTTCCAATATGGAAGAGAATGAAGAGAAGGTTTGTGTGAAGAGAGAGAGATAGGAAAGAATGCATATGTAAAAGAATATTTGTAGAATTTGTATACTCAATTTAATATTTCTGGCGCCAAGATATCAAATTAAAGAATAGCATGAAAAAGAAAATTGCCAAAAAGAAAGCTTGAGAAGAGAGAAAGGTTAGAGGAGAAGGTTAAGGACAAGATGGAAGAATTATATCAAGGTGTAGAGGATCTAGTAGGATGAGAAGAGGAGAGAAAGGTTAGATGAGAAGATTAAGGACTAGATGGAAGAATTATATCGAGGTGTAGAGGATCTAGTAGGATGAGAAGAGGAGAGAAAGGTTAGAGGAGAAGGTTAAGGACTAGATGGAAGAATTATATCGAGATGTAGAGGATCTAGTAGGATGAGAAGAGGAGAGAAAGGTTAGATGAGAAGGTTAAGGACTAGATGGGAGAATTATATCGAGGTGTAGAGGATCTTGTAGGATGAGAAGAGGAGAGAAAGGTTAGATGAGAAGATTGAGGACTAGATGGAAGAATTATATCGAGGTGTAATCTAGTAGGATGAGAAGAGGAGAGAAAGGTAAGAGGAGAAGGTGAAAAGAAGAATAATACCGATGATGATGAGTAAGTGAAGAAGAAGAAAAGAATTGATAAAGATGATGTAGAGAAAGATAAAAAGTAGATTTAGATTAAATAAGGTTTAGACACAATAGTAAATAAAATTAAGTACTGGAAACAATAAAACTAATGCAATAAAGAGAGTTCAGAATGAACTTATGGGAAAAAAATTATAACATTTGGAGGGCATATAAAAAAATATACATAAAAAAGATAATATCCAGGCAACTTGAAACCAAAAAACTGCAAAAAGTGAGAATATTTTTGCGAGTTCAAGACCTTAACTTATTAAAAACGAGCTCAACGGATTTTTATTAAATTATGAGAGATAAACATGATATGATGAAAACTAACCAGAGCTTGTAACTAATGAACAAGATTAAATTTAAATCCGGTCCAACTAAAATACTATATGTAGAAAGAACAGAAGTGTATCTAAATCAACTGATTTAAATTTAACTCCCTTACTTCGTTAGTTACTAACTTTGATTGTATATGCAAACAATAAGTAAAAATAAAAAGTTCATGAAAAAAAAACTACTAAAAAACCTGAAATAAACTCTGGAATTCTATTAAACTGCATGTCTCTTGTTACAGATTTCAAAATTAAGCAAGCTATGAAATAACTTACCTCTCAAAGTGGGCCAGGGATCATAGTTATTAATAAACACTGTTCTTCATATATGATATATCCGTGATATATGATTTATATAAATATATAATACACATATGAAAGCGTAGTATTTACTGATCTTACAAATTTAATTATTAGAAAAAAGGGATCAACTTGACAAATGTTGTGGTTTTAGGGATATCAAATGCCAATAAGTCCGATTATCATGATTTTAAACTTACCCCACTTTTTTTAGATAAATCACAGTTTCCTGTGAGAATTTCTCATTTCTATGAATCCCGAATTTTGTTTAAAAGAATTTCCTCTGTTCAATGCACGAAAGCAAATACATTTGATATGATGAGAAAAAGATGATGTAAAAGTTTATTTATCTACCATAGTAAAATTACTGCCTATTCAATACAACTTGAGAGAGCAATAATACATTTTATTCAAAATACGAGGACTTTTATTATATATAGTATACAGTTGCTAAATATTTTAATGCTTTTAAACCAAATTCTGTTTAAAATTCTTTAGTGCTAGCTCTGGTAAAAAATATATCCAAGTGTAGACTGTAGAAAATATCTCCAATGTAGACTATAGACTGTAGAATATATCTAGTATCTACCTACCCCCTCTAGTGTAGGTAAGCAGGTTGATCTACTCCGAACTTGACAAGAACTTGAGCTTCCTTCGCAATTTCTACAATCTGACTAAGTTTACAGACAAGTCTAGCAGCTTCCTAGCACACATATTCACACTCATCCTCATTCTTGTATTAGGACAATTAGATTTAGGTTTAGGACCAGGAATATTTAGGAGGAGTTGACATCTTCATCTGCTAGACAATAAAGAAACTATAGACTCGAAATGTTTATAAAATTAAATGGTATCTTTAAGAAAAAAGACGATTCCGCTAATGTGTACAATGACAATGTTGTTAAATTTGATAAAACCTTTTCAAAAATATATGTTTATAAATGAATACACGATTCAAAATATTTTCGAATTGGCGCTTAAAGATAATCTAAGATATTTGATCGTTTATAAGCAGCTGTCAACTTTGTTCGTTTCAAAAATACCGATTGTTAAGTTCTCATCAAGTTTAAGATAAGTGATTTTAATATGAAGAGTAGGTCAACCTTAACTCGTATTAATTGGAATTTATCCTCAGAGCCCCCNTCCACCACCACAAACTTGGAATTCTTGGATAGTCTGATAGTTTAGTTTATCCCGCAGTGGAAATATGTATGTGAGGGCAGCTCAACATCAGATTAAAACTTCTAAACAAATTATTGTATAATTTAACAAAGTTTTAAATTGATTTGATGAAGTTTAACAAAGAAGTGTATAAATAAAGAGAGGAGGGGAGGGGAACATGAGCTAGGCTCAACAATGTTATTAAAGTTCGATAGAAGGAAGGGGGGGGCTGTATCGGTGGTAAACTCGTTTAAACTTCAATAGTTTGAATAGTTTAGAAATTCAAACAAACAACAGTGTACTGTATATCATAATAATAAACCAGCCAGAACAGTTAAGAAACCAATAGACTAAATATCTATCTATCTCACACATCAATGATAGATGTTTACAAAATCAAAATCAGAATCATGGAACTGAAATACCCCAGAATATTAATCGAAACTTCTTTTCCCCAGATCTCATTTAATTTACCAAAATTTCATAGATTTTTAAACAAAACGGTAAAGAGTTTTAATTTCACTTGTGGTTTTGCGCCAATGTCATCATATTTAATATTTATCAAACCTTCCTCTGAAAAACATTCGATTTCCAAAACCAAAACACCCCCTCCCCCCCCCATCCTACGTTCACTCAAATAAAAACTATTTATTGAGGATGAGTTGAAGGTTTGACCTCGAAGTCTGATACGGGAAGAATTTTCATTCCGCTGGTAGCTATTAGCACCTTGGCCTCGTCCACTCGTGTACCCTACCGTAGATTCTGGTCGTTTAGTTCAGGTTGGGGGGAGGGGATGGGGGGAGGAGGGGGTCATGCATTTATACTAATTATTCTAAAAAAGTTCAAGCAAACAAATAATTAAGCTTTTGTGCTCTAATTAAATATTAGTAAACAATAAAAGAAAACAATTGTGTTTTTAACCAGGGATTTTAAAACAAAGGGAGTTAAAATAACTATTTGTCTCTATGTTCCGACAGTTGCGTTATTATTATTATTAAAAAACAAACCATCATTCAATGTATTAGTTCAGGATAATTGTACATTTAGATAAAAATTTTCCTAAAAACACGATGAAGAATATTTCTCTATGGTAAATTAATGGAAAATATTAATCCTGTTCTTGTTTTCCAAGCCTTTGATGAAAAAAAAGCTCTTTTATAATCAGTTTTATATTGTTCGGTTCAAAGAGATAAATAATACTGTTTGGATAAAAAATAAATAAAATAAACTAAACCAAGGCTGAACAGTGAACACGCACACTAACCTGAAGCCTGACCACAATTGGGGTTGTCAGGTTGAGTTCACGAGCCGCAGCAATAATACCCTCAGCAATAACGTCACAACGCATAATACCGCCAAATATATTGACCAAGATGGCGTTTACCTAAATTTAGAAAAAAATGGTTGAAGAGGAGAAATATTTATAAAAATAACATCTGAGAACTGTGATATAAAACTGTTTACCTTAGGATCTCCTGTGATGATCTTGAATGCTTCCTTGACCTGCTGGCTGGTAGCTCCACCTCCTACATCAAGGAAGTTGGCAGGAGCTCCACCGTGAAGTTTAATAATATCCATAGTTGCCATTGCCAACCCTGCTCCGTTTACCTAGTACAGTTAATACTATTAGAAATATTAGTTACTGCTATTAATTAGAAATATTACATTAAGATTACAAAAGGTAAAAATGAAAAAATTCTGTAATCATTACTAGACATCTTCAGTTATTATTTCTTTGTATGGTATATTAATTTTCTAAAATCTACTTTGGTTGGTTAAAGAAGTGTTTGTGAAATGGTAAATGACTAAATAAGTAAATATCTTATTATATTTGTTAATTCCCATCACCTACAGAGATTAAATTCTTCACCCCCCCCNAAAAAACATATTTAATTAAGGGTTGGCTCACCATGCAGCCGATATCTCCGTCTAGAGCAATATAATTTAGATTATACCCTGCTGCCTCCACCTCTCTATACAATCAATATTCAACAATAACATTATATTGTCATAAACCAACAATAATAGAAAAATGTAAAGCAGAGTAACCCAAACCTTAATTAGACAGGGGATAGTAACACTGCATCAAAGTAAAAAAGAAGCAAAACGGAAAAGTGAAAAGTTCAGAAATAAAAGCAAACATAAAGCATAAAGTTGGTTAAAAATGGATCGACGCCATACAACTTTGTCAATTATTTGCAGTTACGATCTAACCAGAGGAAAATGTTCAGAAAATATCCGCTCAAAAGGAATAATATCAAAATTATATTAATGTTAAAACTTGATCTCCATATCTCAATATATTTAAATATTAATCAAATATCCGGCCAAGATTGTATGAATTCTTTAAGCACATCTCAGATATCGAAACTGAACCCGGAGTAGGAAATAAAAATATTCAGTTTCTCCGGGTTCTAACTCTACAACCGGGACCTGAGTCTAATTGAAAATATGGTTTCTATTTCCCGTGCAACCATTAACCAGCCTTTCTTAAACATTAGATATTGTTATCTGTATTATGTACAATACATACAATATATTATATATACTCGGTGTACATTATACATGCATGGTACAGTGTACAGAATATCTAGTAAACTAAAATGTCTGGATCGGGCTTATTTAATATTTACTCCAACTCTAAGGATTTAAAAGTACTTTATAAATTTGAGCGTCTCATTAAAACTTTTCATTTTATAAACTTACAAAAAAGAAAGATGAAACTTCACTTGCTTGTAATGTATTTGCATTTTTTGGGGTGGAATAGAGATTGGTTAATAGCCATGACATTTAGTCGACAGAAAAAAAATATTCCCTAATCCCTACATAAACTTTTACTAAATAAAATTTTATTTAAAAGAACTTGAATATTTTTATGGGAGGGGTAAGGAGAAGGGGGAGGGCAGGGGGGGGGAGATAATGCTGTAAGAACACTTTATGTGTTCCCTAAGGAAGCATAGAATCCGGACAGGTTTACAGAGTTGCAGAGAAAACTCTGTAGAATATTTATTAACTTTGCCCAACTAGGGGTGGGGACTGGGGAGGGGGACGTTTTGAATTCTATCTTCACTTGATTGATTCAAGAAATGAAAGAGTTGAAAATAACAGGAAGAATGATGCAAGTTCAAATTCCGAGAGTTTGAGGTTCGAATCAAAAATTGTTTTTCCAAATGTGATTGTTAAAGTTCTTTTTGAGACCTGATAAGAATTTCTAACTACGTGTGAAGATGGTTCATATTTAATTGAATAATTGATTTATATTCCTAGGATCCTCCTGGGTCCAGTCCCTCTGGTCGAACACCTCCTTCTGCCTGTAATCAGCGTTATCGTCGAACCTGAGTTTAGCGTCGAGGCAGACAAAGTTCCCTTGTGAATCCTTAAATAATAATAAGAAAATAAATAGTAACTAGTCATAACTAGTTAGCAACTAGTCGGTAACTAGTCGGTAGCTGATCAGTATAATCAGTAACTATTAAACTACTCAGTAACTCGACCATCTCAACCCGTATCAAACCTTCTAGTTTATACCCATAACCTGTATTTTAAATAAACTTTAATTTGAAGCCCTACAATTAAAATTAATTTAAAAGTTAACAATGAGATTAGAAGGAAAAGACTGGTGTCAAATTTTTTTTTGCTTATTAGATCAAGAAGAATCGATTGAAACATAATGCGTATTATTTTTACAACACGTGTATTGTATAACTTTCATTGTACAATGTATAATGTTTACCTCAGCGAATGGATTGATTTCAACCATGGATGCGTCCTTGTTGAGGAACAGATTGTACAGATCTATCAGAGTCTGTGCTACCTCAGCCTGTTTAGCAGGGTTAATACCGAGCTGTACAGCAACATCCTTCAATACAATAAATTCTTGAACCTTAGAAACTTTTATTTTTCCGTCTCGTGAGACTAAGCACAGATGAGCTAGTTCTAGTTAGATAACATCAATTCCTCAAATGGAGATATTTTAAGACAATTTCCAAATGAATTTTCGTTTCAACAAGGAAAGATCGTTACCTTGGCAGTGTCTAGAGAGAGTCCCTGTGTGATATCTATCGGTGTTTTAACAATAGCATCAGGGTTCTTCTCAGCTATCTCTTCAATGTTAACTCCTCCCTCGCTAGATGCAATTAGAACTGGTCCCTAGACAACAAGAATAATGGTTGCAATCTCTTGAATATAATGGTTTGCAATCTCAAACATATTTGTTAAGCTGCCTCTAGTAAAGAGAGTTTAAACATTAAATTCCAGGTTTCAAAACCTCAATAACTCAAACAAGATACTAGATAATAAATGCAAGATACAAATAATGCTATAGTATATCTTTATAGACAAGAACACATCATACAGTGGTCTCAGATATACAAAATAAAATAAATAAAGCAAAATTGAAAATAAAAGTCGAAATTAAAGTTTTCATTGCACAGAATTATGATAAATCAATGAAACTGGTATTCAACAACAAAACGAACAAAACTTTTGATTTTCTTACCAATTCTCTATTTCATTTACTGGTTAATAGTCGTAAATATTAATTACCCCGAAAGTTCTTTCGTTCATGAAGGCGATGTAGTATTCTTTCCTGGTGAACTTCCTCTCTGTGATCATAACAGAGTTACAGATCCTAAAACACAAGGATGAGTTTGAATGTGGATAGGTAGTTGTAGGTTTCTATACAGTATCTGCTTCTGGAAACTGTTAGCTCAACTGTTACAACAGATTAAGGTAAATATTAGCCTGCTTCCAAATAGTAACTAGTCATAGCTAGTTAGTAACTAGTCGGCAACTAGTCGGTAGCTGATCAGTATAATCAGTAACTATTAAACTACTCAGTAACTTGACCATCTCAACCCGTATCAAACCTTCTAGTTTAAACCCATAACCTGTATTTTAAATAGACTTTAATTTGAAGCCCTATAATTCCGCTGAAGTTGTATTGTGTACTAGTATTGTGTACTGGTATTGTGTATTGGTATTGCGCACTGTATTGTGTACTGTATTGTGTTGTATTATGTACTGTATTGTATACTGTATTGTATACTGTATTATATACTGTATTGTATACTGTATTGTATACTGTATTGTATACTGTATTGTGCACTGTATTGTGAACTGTATTGTGTACAGTATTGTGTACTGCATTGTGTACTGTATTATGCACTGTATTGTGCACTGTATTGTGCACTGTATTGTGTACTGTATTGTGTACTGTATTGTGTACTGTATTGTGTACTGTATTGTGTTGTATTATGTACTGTATTGTGTACTGTATTGTATCCTGTATTGTGTTCAGTATTGTGCACTGTATTGTGTACTGTATTGTGTACTATATTGTGTTGTATTATGTACTGTATTGTGTACTGTATTGTATACTGTATTGTATACTGTATTGTGTACTGCATTGTGTACTGTATTAAGTACTGTATTATGTACTGTATTGTGTACTGTATTGTATCCTGTATTGCGTACTGTATTGTGCACTGTATTGTGTACTGTATTGTGTACTATATTGTGTTCTATTATGTACTGTATTATGTAATGTATTGTGTACTGTATTGTATACTGTATTGTGTACTGTATTGTATACTGAATTGTGTACTGTATTGTGTAATGTTTTGTGTACTGTTTTGTATACCTGCCCTCTGCTCCTGTCTGTTTAGTGATGAGGAAATCTCCAATCATATCTCCAGCAGCTGCTTCTATCTCCTCAGGAGAATAGAGTAGACGGACACCACCAGCGCTCTTACTACCACCCTGTACAGATATTTATCATAGATCTGATCAAAAATATCAGGTATAATCATTAATCAAATAAAATGTCAGATATTAAACGAAAGCCAACTAATCCCTTGCCGGATCTAGATCCAGTTGTTATCTTTTCCGCAATGATAATTAAAAATTCCAGTGTCGCATATCAACCAGCTACATAGATCAACTAAATCTAAAAAACATTCTTTCTTTGATCTTCCTGAGTTTATAAGAGTATGGAGTGGATTAGTTTACAGTATAGTTGTTGTAAAGTTTACTGTTCGCAACCAACTTTGGTTGTATTTAATAAAATCGTGTAATAAACTATGAAACAAGTAAAACAAGTTTAACCATCCAAAGAAAGAACTGAATTATTTTCTACCTTCACTAAAAATATATTTAACATTTTGTTAGTAAACTAAAATAACAAAATTACAAAACACAGCATATTTTCAGTTTTTGTTCAGGTAAATCTTGTTATTCCCTAATCCTAATTTCTCTGTAAACATAGAATGAAAGTTAGGTGACTATTTCTAAGTCGTCTCATAACCAAGAGATCGGAGTTCAAAACTAGAGAAAAGAAAATTACAGCTTAAAAGTTAAGTTTCAGCTTAAATGTCGCACGTGATTTAAATTAAACTGTGACATTGAGCTATACATTAAATATTTAAACCCGTAAATTCTCATCATTTACAATCAATCAATCATAATTCTTTGGAAAATGTTGTTTAAATTATAGAATAAACCCAGAAAATCTAAATCTGAACTTTACTCTTTTGAAGTATTCAATCTTTTAGGATGAATGTAGGGCTATCTGTTGGTACCAATTTCAAAGATTAAAGTAATGTCTTAACGTAATATCTAAATTTCCTTGTTTATTGGGAAACCCTGTAATTCTGTGATTTCTATAACATGCACCCGTTAAATATTGTATACAAACTAATTCATGTATATATTGTATTTTCATATCCCAGTTGTTTATTCACCCATGAATATTGAACCCACCTTTCCAGTGCTCTAAAAAATATATAAACTGAATTTATATTTATTATTTTGCAAAACATATATTAACATTTATCAACTCTTGAAAAGAAACATGTCAGATTACAGGAAGATAATGGAAAAGTATTGGCAGATTAAAAAAAAAGGTATTTTAGGTATCTTTAACATGGATGACCCCCCCCCCCAAAAAAAAAACCTCTAGAACTTAATTCCAAATGAAACAAAAAACTAAACTTTTTGTATTTGAAGATTAATAAAATAAAAATACCTTGGCAAAGTGTCCCTTTCCTCTACCTCCAGCCAGGACCTGAGCTTTAATCACCAGATCAGTTACATTCAGATCCTAGATACATTAATGGATACTAGTTTATATGGAATCTTCGATACTTGAAATTAGGATCCACGGATACTAGGAACGTAGATTTACAGATTACAGTTGTTTACGTAGATAAGGCCAGTCCAAGAGTCCGGTATCTTAAGAGTGGTATATGAACGGTATTAGCTAATACCGCTCTCCACTCTTAACACTAACATCGGTGTTTAGTAAATAGTAAAACTGCCTAATTAATGGTAGGATTATCTAGCCTAGAACAGCTGATGCGTTCATAAATCATCCTAGCTAAAACCAGGCTAATCAACCAATCTTTACCGTTTGACTCTTCCGCGCAACTCTTTTCTCTTCTAAACTTAATAATTTGTTAATAATTATAAAAACGACTTTTAAATAATACATTTTTATTTTATGACAAAAGATACAGGGTGTCCCACGAAACATGACAGTTAAGAGACAACTTGAGCATCGTCTTTGATCTTCGAAATGATTGAAATCTAAGTAATTTTTACGAGAACAAAAATGAAGAGAATATTTTGGAAATGCAGGACTGATGGTATTATGAGAAAATTGTCCAAATATTTTATTTGTGAAATAGTTTAAGGAATAAATTATATCTTCATTCTTTAAGTCGTCTCTCCACTGTCATGTTTCATGGGATTAAATATTTATGGACATATTTTGTAAACTAAACTTTTTATATTTCAATCAAATCAAAGTTAAAAATAAATACTTTCAAATAAGATATATTTTGTAGAAAAAATGTCTTTCATAAAGTTTTTCTCATGAAAATGTTTACTTTTATTTATTCAGAATATCTTATTAATACGATTCCGTAAGGAGGGGGAGGGTTAATTTTCCTGAATTAAGCAAAATAAGAAGTATTTCTTCGTTTTTTTATGCATTCCTGTATTAGAAACATTCCTGTATTTCATAAGGTTGCGAGAATATCGAGACAAAAACAAATTAATACCAGTATTTAGGATAAATGATCTATATAATAAATAAATAAAGATTTACTGTGATAATCATTCACAGATAATTATGAAACAAAAAGATTATCGGTTCAACAGTCTCTGGATATGTGGAATAGCAGATTTTCTATATTTTTCTGTCCTGGCATGATTAACATGATACATAATCTACCCTACGGGTGGATTAGCTCACACCGCTCTTAGTAAAACTGGCATTTCTGTTAATAACGGTATTAGCAAAATGCATAGGGTAGATGATCTAACCTAAATCCTACCTACCAGAATTAGTTAAGAGCGCTATTAAGGGTTCTAGAACTGGGCTATAATTTTATACATAGATAGGCAGATACTGCAATAAGAGCTAGGGCGGAGTAAAAATTAACATAGTTTGGATAGGAACTAGAACAGAGTGACATAGTTGGGAAAAGAGCTAGGGCGGAGTAAAAATTAACGTAGTTGGAAAAGGACTAAAACAGAGTAACATAGTTGGTATAAGAGCTAGGGCGGAGTAGAAATTTACAGAGTTGGGATACGAAATTTTCCTCTCCATAATTAAGGATAAGAACTAGAACGGAGTAAAAAATTAACAAAGAAAAACTTAAATAATATGCTTATCCTCTTTTAGCAACAATTTTAGTGTGAAATTTTGATTCTCAAGCGACCATATTTTCTTAATAATTTTAACTTAAAATTACAAGTATAGTTCAAAAGGCCAAAGAGCATACCTTTGCAATCTGCTTTGCCTCGGCAGCAGTCTTTGCAACTCCAAATTTAGGAACAGGAACTCCTGCCTCTTGAAGAAGAGACATAGATACATACTCGTGAACTGACAAGTTCCTGGTCGGAATCTGAATAATAAAATTATGATAATTTATGAATATAAATGTTTTATGGTAACTGCATACTCTAAAGTCTGCAACACAACCCCTGGGCTAGTAGAACCACTAAGTATATATGATCGTTCAGTGAACTTCTTTAAAAACAATTCAGATGTAAATTATCCCAAGGCTACAAAATAGCTTGAAAGTACAAATTATATCCAAGGGATAAGTATATAAAAGTACGTTACGCACAGCATTTTGTCAAAATACGGGCATGTTATATACCAAAATAATCAACACACATTCACGAACAATTTTCAATCATTCATTACCTTCTTTGGAGAATGTACCACCAATTTTTCCGCGATGGAAGATACGCGTTGGAGCAGGGACGCCATTTTTCCACTTCTACTGTGTCTGCTGTCTGAACAGCTGACTCTGAGTAGCAGAAGAATTGAAGTTCCAATGGCCGAACAGGGATGACTTTCTTTTATTCTTCACAAAAAGTGTCGACTCAAAATAATTGAAATTTCGATAGAAAATTTGAAATTTTCTGCCTACGGACAAATCTGAAAAAAAATATTTTAGTCATGTGAAATAATAATCGGGAAACTTTAAAGGGAGAAAGTTCTAAGGACATAAGACTACTACTATAAGGGGGTTGTTAAGGGAATCAGGCAGCTTTCCTAGCACTGCATTCCCCCTCCAGTTCCTCCAGTACCCCCTTACCCCTCCCCCTAATTTGAACAAAAATTATACACCCTACTGAGCAATTTGTAAAAAGATTGAAATCTGAATCGAGTCACGGAAAATCTGATAATAATGACTGAAATCTTAATAATCTATATCCACAGAACATTCGATCTCTATTGGCCAATTTCTTATTCATTTAACCATAGGTACAACTATAATAGGTAGTATCTATCTATCTACACTACTCTGGTAAAGCGTAATTAACCATCGTGTGACTATGCATGGTTTTGCTAGTTCTACCTATGGTAGAGCGTCTAAGAAATTGACCATATGTCCATATCATATCATTTAAAGTTTCACTAGCCAGCTTTGCAGAGGAGCCATGAGCCCCGCAAAAAAACAGCTCCAAGCCTCCAGATTTGCATAATGACCTCCAGGCCCCGCGAAATCGTCTCCGTGCCGATCCTACTACGTCTCCAAACCTCTATTGGGAGTCATTAAAATTGTCATTGTTAGAAATTTTTTTGCCCCCCCCCCTGAATNTGTAGGGGTTTCCGAACCATTTTAAGGTATATTTACTTTTCCATACTTGTAAATTCAAGAAATGTGTATTATATACACTCTACAGTATGCTCAGAAAATAAAAACACTGTTAAGAAATGCCTTTCATTAAAAAATCATGTTTTTACATGAAAAATATTTTTTTTAATATTCGACACATAACACAATATTTGCGGTGAACATGTAGTCGATTAATTTATTAGTTGTACTACGAATATCGATCGAACTAAGCTCAATAAGCTATAGTTCAATTATTATTTTTTATTTATTTTACGATCAGAGCTCTTAAATTTGCTCAGGGTCGGGATTCATGAATCGCTAAGCAAAACAGGGTGGAATTCTTGGCTCTTGCCCCCCGGCAAGCCAATTCTTAAGGGGCATGCCACCCTTAATCAGGCCAGTGCCCCCCTTGCCCCCCCCCCCGCTAGTTGCGCGCCTGATTAAAATCATAAACGACTATAATACTATAACAGAGCAATTGACAATTCCTTCAAGTAACGTCTGGTGCATCAAAATTATGACTAAGATATAAGGGTAAACCCTGATAACAGCTTATAAGAGAGAGGAAAAGTTGGCATGAACAAGAAAACCCGTTGCGCATAACCAAAACCTGATCTTGTGATAAAATTATTCAGATAAAGAAAAAAATCTAAATTAAAAACTTTTTATTTTCTTATATAATTTTTCTATTGCATTTGCGTCTCCTTTGATGACGAAGTTGAAAACGAATGGGCACCAAAAGCTTTTTAATTCTCATGAACTCCAGGTTTTCATTTATACATTTACAATTTTTACAAACAAAGGAATTTCATATAGCAAAATGATTAAAAAAAAAAATTTAACAAAGATTTGGCAGGGCCGGGTATCAAAGCGTTTTTGGTCATACCAAATCAAGCGCTTTGTCATACGTTAAAAACTTTTTGGCATAGATATGGATCATACTGCTGATTTCATTGATCTAATCAAAAAGATTTTCTATTTGATCTAACCTTCAGTTTTTTTATCGTGCTTCATTCACTTTACGTGAAAATTTAAGTCTATAATTTTATATAATTGGTAACATATGTTCATGATTCTGATCGAATAATAGCAAATTGTGATTAATGGGTAAGGTTTAAAAAACGAATGAATATATCTTTTTTCATAGATGTGTTGTATGGAATTCATGCAATATAGCAGCACTTTGCATAATCTCACTATAATTCTTGCAATCCTACTTTCGAAAATCTGCTTCAAGAAATATTGAATATAATGCTTTCATTCATTTCTAAAAGGAAAGTGTGCCATTTACAATTCACCACAGTAGACTTTTAATAAGGTTTACTCACGTACTGAAAGAGGATTCTGTTGTTGAATGAAACAGTGAACGGTATGCACTCAGTTCTTGCTTAAGACAATTTGTTCCTTATTTCCCGGATTTTAACAAATTCTCTCGAACATTTCCCAAAATTGGAATCACAGAATTTTCTTCGTGGAACCATGAGCTATTATAGTTTTTTCAAATATCATATGTAGAAAATTCCTTTTAAACATTTTTAAAAATAAAAAAGCGCGTTCTAAAATTTAACTTGGAACAGCGGGTTTTTTATTCATGAGAATTAAATGCAAAACGTCGACTCGTTGTTTTTAGCTAAATTTATTAGGGAATGTATCAGAAACATGTATACGGTTTTCAACATTTAATTAGAAAACCAATTTATTATACATCACAGCTGACCTGAACCAGAATTAGATTATACTAAAAGGATCAAGAAATCTAAAACCATATTTGGATCCGAGAAGGTCTCCTAATTTCAGATCAATTTTCATTCAAATCCTAGGAGTAGCTTCCCATAGCTACAAGTTTTTAAATTACCTTTTTAACTTTTCATCCAAACTTCCCTATTAGAATCATGGTTTCAGACATATCAAAATTAGAAATTTTCAATTGTTTACCATTATTTAGTTCCAATTAGAACTTTTCCTTATTTCTAAAGGAAAAGAGTTCTTGCCATAATCTCAAATTTTCTTATTCTTATATCTTTGCAACCTGATGGTGTAAGTTTTTGTTATTTTAAACTTGGACTTATAGGTTTTGCCCTCACAGGCGCAGCCCTCTCGAAAAAAATGTTGATTAAAATCACATGGGATTGAACCTGTCCCAAGTGAAAGCTGGATGTCTATTAGTCTTCTTGGTAGTTATAGACCATTTTTTTGGAACAACCATGAAATACATACATAAAACGTCACTATGCGGTATCTTTTTCTCCGCACAACATACAGCGGGTTTAATCCCAGTTTTAGATTGCACGAAACTTTCTCAACAGTTTTGGCGTGGATGATATTGACCCTAATTTGCTCTGCTATAGCATGAAACAAACATATAAACATGTTTTTACTCTTTCAGTCATGATGACCTCAATTAACCCTTGATTGAACATGTTTTCCTATACGAAGAAAGTGTGTTTATGGGCATTTTCTTGCATTTAAACAATTTCATCATAAGTACTGGATCTCCTGTAAAATCCTTGGTTCAGGTATTACCCGCATAGAACAAGCGACGCTGTTTTAGAGTCTGAAAACGACCCGCACGACCCCAAAAACGGGCGCCGGCCCGACTCTACAAAAACAGAGGGTCTGAGGAGGTCGGCCCGGCGTCTAAGACTAGGTTTCAGACTCTAAGATTCTACCCGGGTATACTCCAAGGTTTAGGTGATAAACTCATTGGTTTAGATGATTAATTAGTGAATTATGTGATTCTAAGGTTTATATTTTAAACTTCTATTATAGGTTTAGATGATACATCCATGATTCAAGTGATTAATTCCGAGGTTTAAATATATAACTCCATGGTTTAGATGATAAAATCTATGGTTTAGGTGAAAAACTCCATGGTTCAGATGATAAACTCATGGTTTAGGTGATTAACTACTTATATGAGTTCAGAGAACACCTTATTCAAGACATTCCTACCAAGAAACCAAAAATAGAATGGATATTATGCCTGAGCTATGGATTTTACTCTAGAGTTCATCACCGGAACCATGCAATATTTCACTAAAACCAAGAAACCAAAAATAGAATGGATATTATGCCTGAGCTATGGATTTTACTATAGTGTTCATCACCGAAACCATGCAATATTTCACTAAAACCAAGAAACCAAAAATAGAATGGATATTATGCCTGAGCTATGGATTTTACTCTAGAGTTCATCACCGGAACCATGCAATATTTTACTAAAACCAAGAAACCAAAAATAGAATGGATATTATGCCTGAGCTATGGATTTTACTCTAGAGTTCATCACCGGAACCATGCAATATTTCACTAAAACCAAGGAAGTTATGACTTAAACCATGTCATTTTCCATCTAAACCATGGAGTTTATCATCTGAAACTTAGAGTTTATTATCATCAACCAAAGCATGGAGTTATTTATCTTATTTACGGTGGTAATCATCTAAACCATGAAGTTATTTATCTAAACCATGGAGTTTATCATCTAAACCATGGAGTTTATCATCTGAAACTTAGAGTTTATTATCATCAACTAAAGCATGGAGTTATTTTTCTTATTTACGGTGGTAATCATCTAAACCATGAAGTTATTTATCTAAACATTGGAGTTTATCGCCTGCACCTTAGAATTTAACATCCTAATTATGAAATATTTCATCTAAATCTAAAAGTTTCTCATTCAAACCTTGGAGTTATACCACCTGAACTGTTGGGTTTATCATCTAAACCTTGGGGTTTATCCACTGAACCATTGGGTTTTTTATTAAAACCTTGAACTTAATCCCCTGAACCATATAGTTTTTTATTTGAACCTTGAAGTTTATCACTTATACCTTGGTGTTTGGCAGATAAACCTTGGAGTCTAAAAATATGGCTTCGAGTTTATCACCTATAATCTTATAGTTTATCATCTAAACCATAGTGTTTCTCATATAAATCATGGAGTTTTTCATTTAAACCATGGAACTTTAATTTAAACCATGGAGTTTATAATTATATCCATGGACCTTTCATTTAAACCATGGAGTTTATCATGTTATCTATGAAACTTTCATTTAAACCATGGAGTTTATCATTTTATCCATGGAGTTTATCATGTTATCCATGGAACTTTCATTTAAACCATGGAGTTTATCATTTTATCCATGGAACTTTCATTTAAACCATGGGGTTTTCATTTAAACCATGGAGTTTATCATCTAAACCATGTGTAGTTTTTTCATTTGAATCATGAAGTCTATCATATAAACCATAGAGTTTGTCCTTTCAACCATGGAATTTTCATATAAACCATTGAGTTTTACATTTAAAACAAGGAGTTTTCCATCTAAACCATGGATTTTTTTTATACAATCCTTGGATTTAATTACTTAAATCATAAATTTATCATCTAAACTTTGGAGTTTATCACCAAAACCACGGGTTTATCGTATAAACCAAGGAGTTTTACTTCTAATCCTTGGAGTGAAAAGCCTGAACCATGGATTTTACAGGTGTTCCAGTAAATTTTCAAAAGTAAGAAAATGCCCGCAAAAACATGTTCTTTGTAAAAAAGGAAGAACTTATTAAATCAAAGGTCAATTGAGGTCATTATGACTGAAAGAGTTTCTGTCTGTTTACGCGAGCATAGCGAGTTAGGGTCAAAAACATCCAATCAAAAAAAACTGTTGAGAAAGTTCCGTGTAATCTAAGACTGTGATAAAACACGTTGTATGTTGTCCGAAAATAAAAGATATCGCATTGTGACGTTTTACTTATGTATTGCGGTTGTCCCAAATTAAATGTCATTAACTACCAGGAAGGAGCAGAAGGAATCCAACTGACATCCAGCTTTCACTAGGGACTGATCTCATTCCATGTGATTTTAATCAACCTATTTTGTTCGGGAGTGTGATGGCAAAACATAGTCAAAGTTTAAAATAACAAAAACTTACACCAACAGGTCTCAAAGATATAGGAATAAGAAAATTTGAGATTATGGCAAGAACTCTATTCCTTTAGGAAAAGGCAAAGTTCTAATTAGAACTAAATAATGGTAAAAAAATTTAATTTCTAATTTTAAAATGTCTGAAACCATGACTCTGATTGGGAAGTTGGGATGAAAAGTTGAATAATTTAAAATTTTTTAGCTATGGGAAGCTACTCCTAGGATTTGAGTCAAAATTGATCTGAAATCAGAAGACCTCATCGGATCCAAATATGGTTTTAGATTTCTTGATCCTTTTAGTAACATCTAATTCTGGTTCAGGTCAACTCTGAATTATCTGTTAACAAAAGTAGTAATCAAATTACAACATCCAGCCCCCAAAAGAAATAAATTTTATTTAGAGTTTTAGTGTACCATTGTCGCATAAACTTTGATAAGAAATATGTAAGAAAAAACATGCATTGCATTACAAACCTCAAAACGGGAAAAAATTAAAATTAAAATCTAATTTCGGAATGAAATTGGATTTTCTCTTTTATTCTTTTAAAAAAAAATCCGCATGAAGTAAAAAAAATGTTGTTCAGAATATCAGATTTATTTAATATAAACACAATACACAATGTTAAATGCAGTAAATATATTTTAAAGATTTGGCTTCAAGGGAATATTATTTTTTCTTGACGAAGTCGGGAGAACTTAAGAAAATTACAGTTTTTAACTCTTATTGTTATTTCGAACATAACGAGTTTTATCTACACTAATAAATTTTTTATTCAAAATTAGATGAACAGATTGTACAGCGAAGGAAATACGACATATATTTATTCATTTAATCTATTTGCTTGTTGCAGAGCATCGAGCGAAGAACAAAACCTATAACTTTATCACGACTGGACAGTTGAGAAATAATCTTTTTTAATATGCATTTTTGGACATTTTAGGGCATTTCTTTGTTAATCGCCTGAATAACGACGAGGTTCTAAAAACAAGTAAAATTAATTTAGCTCACAACTCCTTAGTCGGTAAATAACTTAAAGCTACACAAATCACTGCAATACGATTACCATTGACCCATTTCCAACATAAATGAAAATTTTCACTAAGTATTTCCATGCTTCTAAACACAGTTTATATCTTGGCGAGCAACCTGCGATTCAATAATCGGTTTCAAACCGCAATTCTGCATACAAATTATAACATTTGCGAATTAAAAAAGAAAAAGCTAATTAATCGTACCCTTCTCTAAAATGACTTAAAACTATTAATTACTGGAATAAAATTTGTGCAGCAGCAATCCGATTTTTATAGTTTTAAATGAATAATACAGGTCTATGTACATTGTACAGCACAGACTAAAAACAAGTTTCCTTACAATTCCAATTTAAGAATGTAAGATAATTTTTTGTAAGATAAGATTATATATTTTCAAGTCAATGCGAGGATGAAAAGATAAATAAAAAGTAAATGATTAAAGAACCCGAGGTTGCAAGCGGTGAATGATGATCCTGTATATAGGGAGATATATTTGAAAACTCAAATACCCCTGAATCTTTATTTACTTCTAATTGTGCTTCTATGGCAGAAAGTCGGTGTTTACATTTATGTGAAACCAGAATTTGACAGCCGAATATTAAAGTATGGTTCTGGTTGCGAACCCAACAAGTGACACATTACTTTTACTGTTCAAGAGATGAATAATTATTATTTATAATGATTGATTATTGATCCTTGTTACATTTAACGAATCAATGATCATGAAAGAGGCCTCACACTTCTTTAGTAGCCCAATGATGACAAAAGATTAATACTAAGTAGATCATAAATGATCAAATTTTAAACATACCAGGTCAATGATCATGATAAAACTCACAAGATGATAATTGATCATAAATAAGCATTATAAGATGACGAATGATCATGAATAAACATTACAAGATGAAAAATTATCATAAATAAACATTACAAGATGATCATTGACATAAATAACATTACAAGATGATCATTGATCATGAATAAACATTACAAGATGATTATTGATCATGAATAAACATTACATGATGAAAAATTATCATAAATAAACATTACAAGATGATCATTGATCGTGAATAAAATTGCAAGATGATGAATGATCATGGATGAGATGAGAAAGATCCCGATGCTACTATATAAGTGTGTAAAGAAGAATAGGTTTGGTTTCTTTCACTGTAGGAACAGAAGACGACAATTAACCGTCAGATTGGGGCGGGGTGAACCATCCTAATAATAAAATAACTAATTTGTTTCATATTTACAACTTATTATATAATCAAAGCATCCTCTTCTTAAAACTCTCAAATTGAGGCTGGCTGAAGACGATAAGCCATTTAGCAATTTTATAACCATTTTTTAGACATCTTTAAATATTTTTTTTTTTAATTCCTGCGTTTTATCTGTAATATACAAACTTCTCACGTGTCATTTTCCTCCTAACATTTCTTATTATACTTTTTTCCCCTTTCAATTTAAAAATTTCTTTTACGAGAGGGGCCCTGCTAAAACAGCATTAGGCTATTAAGTCCGCCTGCTACGGATCTGATTTCTGATTTACTTATAGTAATAATAATGCAATATAATTTTTTAAATCAGTGCATAAGATTCTTTAAATGGATCTCAAAAAATACATTTTTTGTTCGGAGCAAAAGCGTACTAATGAGTTTGTAAGGCTGTGGAGGATAAATCTATTTAGATTTCTAGGTGGAGGAACTTCACCCCCTCCCCATATCGCCTCCGATGCCATGGGGGGGGTTAGCTGTAAACGCACTGGGAACCATGGTAGTTTGTTAGTAAAAAAAAAACTCTCAGAAATGCATTAACAACATTTTTATTCTGATCTTATTGTCATTTAAGTGTTAGTCGAATTATTATTAATTCTTCGCATTTACTCGATTTTTTAAAAACAATAAATATAAATAAAAGAAGAAATAAATACCATTCTTCTCATGAATATGAACTAGAGATCGGAAGGAGGATTGGGCTCTTGCGAGACTATAGGTTCCCTGAACAAAAAAAAGTAAGAACAAGAACAGAACAAAAACAAGAAATAACAAATAGAACCAAGAACAAGAAAAAGAAAAAACAGAACCAGAGGCAAAGCCTACAATAACAAGAAAAGTAAAACCTAGAATCACAAGAATTGGAAGAACAGAAATAAGTAGAAAAACAAACAAAAAACAACAGGAAAGAATAAGTACAGGGCCTATAAGTACAAAATATCAAATAACAAGAGCATGTTATGAAGAAAACAAGATTAAGATTTATAAGAAGAAAAAACTAACCTTGGGAGCATCGAACTTTATCCTTGCTTTCCCTTTCACCAATGTCGCGGATATCTGAAGTATCACAGCTTCCACGGTATATGCTGAACTCCAACCCTGGTTTAGATAATTAGAAACTAAGAACTAAAAATTGTTCTCTTCCAAGTTCGGAAAATAATTACAAGAATTCTAAGTCAGAAACAACATTGAAATCATTACTCTTAAAAACAGAAAAACATATTTGTTTGGCCCTTTTCAATTGTTTTATATGAATATTTCATTAAAAAATAACTATTTCTTATTGCTGTTAAGTGAATCTAAAAAATACCTGGGGTGTCATCAGCTCCATACATAGGGCTCCGCCGTCCAGAACATAACCGCCGCTCAGAACCGGATGAACCATTCGGACAAACGGTGGATCAAATGGAAACGTGTCCTATATAAAACGTTTCTTAAAACCAAATCAATCAATCAGATAGATAAACGATGCCTACTTGATTTAATCCGTCAAGTTATAATCTTATAAAATAAAATGCAGGCATAATCAGAAAGACTCGAAATTAATTGAAAAGTTATTCAAGCAATTTTAAATATATATTTTTGGCAATTTTAAAGGCTCAAATAAAGGCAGATCAAATTTTGGAAATGGCATGACTATTTTTATTTTGTGATTATCGTTTATTAGATCATATTTATAAAATTAGATAGTAAAGTCGTCTGGTTAATTGTAAATTAATTCCGGGTCTTTCTGATTAGCACTGTATCAGCTAGACAAGATTCTGTTTTTATGTTTTCCTAAAATCTACAGCATTTACGGAGTCTCATTCATAAAGTTAGTTCCAACTGAACAAATTTAAAAGATGTTTGGGATTGTTGTAATCTCTAAACAATGAGCGAGAGAAAAAATAAATTATCCAACTAACGTTGTTAAAAAACAGCAAGAATTTTAGAGATTTGTACGGATCAAAGATGTCCATGACGGCCAGAATGACCAATAAGAAAACACAGGTTTATCATTAAGTTTTTAAATGTATGAATATGTTTTTCTCTCAAAATAATTAATAATCCTTTGATTAATTATTATTTCCTCAACTTAAATAATGAATCATCTGAGCAATCCCTTAACTAATAACAACAATACCTTAAACATGAAAGAAAGAAGAATATGATCCTTGCCCTCTCTTTCTCTAAGGAGAAGGAGGTCATTGGCAAGGGGGGAGTCAGGGTCAACCCGTTGGATTTTCACGTTCCATTCGTACAGGCTGTCATTCACTAACTCAACCTTTAAGAGAATTTATGTGAAGATTGAAATGAGGTGTTTATTAAAATATAACAATCAGTACTACTTTCATTTTTATCCAATTTTTCAATCAAGATTTTGTTTATATAGTTTTTGTATGTTTATTTCTTTAAAATAAACTTTTATTTGTAACGCTCAATTTGGTATCAAAATAGCATGGTTATCCTCTATATAATATTTTTTTTTCCACGGGCAACCCGGGCCCTTCAGCTTGTATTCATTAAAGTTGAAATTTGAAGCGCATATCTTTTTAAGGTTTAGTATTCTAAATTCGAGTTTAAAAATGTTTTGATCGGGGAAAGTATGTTTACAATATACTTGACAGCCTTGTGATCGATTACTGAGTAGACTGAAGAAATTATTTAACCTGATATGCTCCAGACTTGAAGTTAGGAGATTTGTAAATATCTCGTAGTTCTTTCATTAGTCTGTCCGTAGCTTGGACACTCCCAGATACTGTCCCCTTCATGTAATCACGCCTCTGGTTTGCTTTTAGTCGTTCCAGTACCTGCAATACGATATTATTTAGAATACTAGGGTACTAGGATACTAGAGGATACTAGGATATACTACGTGATACTTGGAAATTCTAGGGAATACTAGAGGTACCAAAATTCATGGGGATACAGATGAAAACAGAGGATACCAGTATTCTAGAGACTACTAGAATACAAGGTTACTAAGGGGTATTGGCAAACCAGGATTCTTGGAGATTAAACGCGGATGAGATCTGCAAGAAGCCCCATCTTATACAATACAGACCACCTAAAGATGCAAGGTTATAATGCAAGGAAAGGTAATTGCAGTTGCGTATACTCTGAGTACTATAGAAACCAGTTCTCTCTAGGCGGAATTCGTAAACAAGAATAGATGCATCAGTGTTCCGTTCAGTATCCGAGGTGGATAAAAGCATTTAATTTTAAAAATTTTGATAATTCACATAAGTTTCCTATGACCAGAATGTTTCATTGATTTTCAATGTGAAAGATGGATCCCATGTCAGGCTGTGACATTCGTCTTGCGTTTACATTACCGCCAACAGACAGTACACTGCAGTACAAAAAATGCGTACACCTCTGAAATAACTTTCCTTGCATTATAACCTTGTACAGATGTATCTAACACTTACTGGTCGGATATTACCTGAACCAGCCCAACCAACCTCCTAGCAACACTAGGGGAAGTGACGTGAAACCAGGTTACTAGGGGATAATAGGAAGCAAGGAAACCTGCTATTGAAATTTTATAGGAACCAAGAATACTAATTACCATTAATCATATAACCGACATTGCCCGACACCCCCCTCCTATTTATTTTAAGAAATCCCGACTGCCATTGGTTGCATATTGTATAAAAACCCCGATCATTACCTGTAAGTGCTCTGTGTTCAAATCCTCGTCCTGTCGGGCCTTCTTACTAATAGCCTCGATATCCTCCATCTCTAGGGGGATCTCATCCTCGTCCTCATCCTCCATCTCAACCTCACTCTCACTCTCCTCCTCAGCCTCTACTACCTGGAAAACAGGAGTGCATTTTCTTCAACAATTCTCACCATTTATGCTATAATTTTTTTCTTTCCAAAGGGAGTTTATCGCTGAATTGTAAATAGATCAATTTGTTTGTAAAATAAATGAATCTATAAAATAAAGCTTATCGCTCATTTATATGGGTATCCTGTGGGTACTAAAGGCTAAAAGATTTTTTTCTTCTTTTAAAAATATACCGGAAGCGGCCGACCTTTTGTTCCTTTAGTTTGTTAATAAAAAAAGTTACAAAGAGAAATCACGCTAGTTCCGTTTTATTCTCGCTGATTTTTTTTATTAAATAGATTTGTTTTGGGAAAGTAGTTTAAAGATTGGCCACATCTGATGGGGAGAAACTACAGTAGAAGGGGAATCATCAAAATAAATACTCGTTTTCATGCTGTCCGAGAATAATTAAAAAAGAGGAAGTAAACAAATAAATTTATCCCCCAGCCATATTCATGTAGAAGGTAAAAATATTCTCCTGGGGATAGATTTCTCAAGAATATAAAAACAAAAATATAAAATCACCTTCATTGGTTGTATATTAACCATTAGGGTATCAACCTCAGGGGGCAGGGGAGCTGAGAATAGATTACATAGCTCACGAACCAACATCTTAACCTATACCAACCAATTAATCAATTATTCAAATGATCTTATTGTTTGTCCCCGACAGTGACACCCAAACTATCATTCATAAGTTTAAACAATGAAAAAATATATATATTTTGTACGATTCAATATGGTTTGATAAGGGTTGGATAAATTATTTATGTTTTTTGATATTGTGATTGTGTTGTATGTTTTGGCTAGATTTGGTTAAGAATTTAACTAAGACGAACTAATCTGAAAGTTAAACCTACTATCGCTTACAAAATGTATAATTTTTAATAAAATATTCAAAAATTGTCGTATTTTAACTTGAAGCGTTTTTTAAACGTATGTTGAACAGGTGAATATTGTTCAATTTTGATTTTGCCAATTCATTTATGTACTTTAATTCTTCTAACACATCCTAATGTACAATGTACAATGTATATATTGTAGTCTGATAATGACAAAAATATTTTAAAACATTTCTTTTGAGCCTCAGACCAAGTAATAACATCTAGACTTAAATATAGATTAAAGCTTTAAGTATATTTTTATTTAACCTGATATAGTAGATGGTTGTCTAGTCCGGAAGTGGAGGCTAAAATAGAAACTGCCTCCGATACTTTAGCGTCCTCCGATTCAGAAAACCAGACTGGAGGCGACTGAGGGTATGTTTCCTGAAAAAAAAAATTGATAAAACCTCTGTCTGAAGTTTTTTAATATATAGGACTGGGAAAATATGGACCCGGATCCAGGTCATTAACACTTATTAAAGATTTACTGATTTTTCCAACAGAGGAATTTTTGATTTATTTTTCTTTCTTTTTTCAAACTTATTTGATGAACCATTCAGAGAAATGAACATTTTTCACAATCTCTTTTTATCGTAACAGTTCAGATTTGAGCTTTGAGAGCAGAAGAGTTTTTTAGCAGTTTTTGGTCGATATTTTGCTCTTGGATCCGGATCCGTGGATATTTTTGCGGATCCGGATCCAGGAAGCTAAAATATTGCGGATCCAACGGATCTGATTCCGGATTCTAAGCATTGTACATGCTGTGTCGAGATAATTGCACAGTGCGAAACAAAATATTTCTGAAGGAAAGTTTCGCCTACTTTGCAATTAAAAAATGTCTGTTACCAAACTCTCTAAGCGTCGAGTAATGGGGGAATGAGTTTAGTTTTTTAAAATATCATTAAACTAAAATCAAGTTAAAGGATTCCAAGCGATAACTTAGCAAGAAAAATAAGCGTTACCGTGATATTTGCATGAATAATATGCTTCCGACCAGTGGTATCCACAAACTTACAAGTTAACTCATCAACACTAGCTGACACTATCTGTAACCTGCAACAAGAGTTTTATATTTATACAATTAGGCTAGCCTAGACAATGCTGTGTTAGCCTAACCAATATTAAACTAACCTATACAATATATTAGGCTAACCTAGACAATACTATGCTAGCCTAACCAATATCAAACTAACCTATACAATATAGTAGGCTAACCTAGACAATACTATGCTAGCCTAACCAATATTAAACTAACCTATTTCCAAAAATCGTTCTCTAGGAATATACCTATAAAAACTAACCTAAATAATATTAAACTAACCTAGAATATAAAAACTAACCTAAACAATGTAAAAACTAACCTAAACAATATGAAAACTAACCTTAACAATATTTAACTAACCTAAAATGTAAAAACTAACCTAAAACAATATTTAACTAACCTAAAATATAAAAAATAACCTAAACAATATTTAACTAACCTAAAACATAAAAACTAACCTAAACAATATTTAACTAACCTAAAATATAAAAACTAACCTAAACAATATAAAAACTAACCTAAACAATATATATAACTAACCTAAAATTTAAAAACTAACCTAAACAATATTTAACTAACCTAAAATATAAAAACTAACCTGAACAATATTTAACTAACCTAAAATATAAAAACTAACCTAAACAATATTTAACTAACCTAAAATATAAAAACTAACCTAAACAATATTTAACTAACCCTTAACAATATAAAAACTAACCTAAACAATATTTAACTAACATAAAATGTAAAAACTAACCTAAACAATATTTACCTAACTTAAAATATAAAAACTAACTAACCTAAAATATAAAAACTAACCTAAACAATATTAAACTAACCTAAAATATAAAAACTAACCTGAACAATATTAAACTAACCTAAAATATAAAAACTAACCTAAACAATATAAAAACTAACCTAAACAATATTTAACTAACCTAAAATATAAGAACTAACCAAAACAATATTAATCTAACCTAAAATATAAAAACTATCCTAAACAATATAAAACTAACCTAAAATATAAAAACTAACCTAAACAATATAAAAACTAACCTAAAAACGATATAAAAACTAACCTCAACAATATTAAACTAACGGTTCTAACCTAAAATATAAAAACTAACCTAACATGAGTTTTGTGAAATGCAGCTTCTACAGCTTTTATCTCCTGCTTCAAAACATTAAGGCAGGCCATACTGGCCGCTTTAATAATCTGAAATAATCATCATAGAAGTGGCCTTTTTCTAATATTGGCAATATTCTATTTTTAATTCGTGATTTTTGATCCATGGGGAAATTAAATATTTGTTGTACTAAATTTGATCATTAGAGAAAACTCGAACCTTACAAGAGGTTTGGTTTGGTTCAGTGCCGCGTTCTTCAACTAAATATTTCTTCTGCAGCGTATTAACACAATTTCAAGGTTTTTTTTGCCTTTTTTACTAATTATTCGTGAAATAAAAGTCTTCTTCTCTTTCATGTCACAAGGTTTATTAATTTAAACAACGAAATCACTTTTTTGTGTTGTATTTGTAGGATAGCACATTGGAACGCAGAATTCGGCAGCAGACATTTTAGTTCTGAGAGATTCTAATCAATGAATCAAATTGCAGCTGTTTGCAGAACAAAATTATATTTATTTTACAAAAAAAACTATATTTATTATTTTCATTCATCCGTACATATACAGAGCGTCTCATATCATAAAAGATTATCTCCAATCTTTAACGCCTAAAATACGCACATAATTCTCGAAAAATTTAGCATTTTCTGCAAAAAATGTTCTAATTTGTCCTCTTCAAATCCTCCAAATCGCGGGTAATTTAGACCCATTGACGCGGTCTAATTTTATGTTGGACATTTTGTGGGTTAATGTTAGGCTCGTTGGACTAATTTCTGTTTTTCTACTATCAAAGCGCGCGGGTAATTCCCTGGAGAACGAAAATCGTTCTTTATGACAGACCCTTAAAGCTCGACATTGTCATAGTTTGTACTCCAGATCGTAAGTTTGGTCAACTGTCTCTAAATTAAATATATATATATAACAAACATATTATTATATTTTACTCAGTCACTTAAGTAGAAAAGATTATGTCCGAGCAATATAATGTCTCAGACGTCATCAGTCAAGAAATTATCTTATCCTGTTAGATGCGCACGTACATACGTACGATTTCTGAAGGATCAAGATCGTCGAGCCAAGTGGAATCTATATCAAGGAAATCGCAGGCCTGTCAATTTTGTACATGATTTTAGCAAAATTATTTTATGTTTTATTATTTTAGGGTTAGGTTAAGTTTAGAAAATTTATGGGCCGAGCGGTGTGGCTAGGACAGGCTAGGAGAGAGGGGGAGGGTCCAAAAATCGTTCTCTAGGAAATTACCGATAAGGGTTAATTGTAAATAGGATGCCCCCCCCCCCCACTCTCTTATCGGCAAGAGTTGTAGCCTTTAATTATCATGATACGAAAATAGTTGATATTTATGGCTGTAAAGTGCATTAATTTGTATAATTTGGCCTCAAAGACGTTTTTGCGCAAAGCGCTTAGATTAGGACGGGATAGAGCAAGCCAAGTGGCAAAATTTTTATAAGAATTGTGTCCTAGAATTATTTGAATAATGTTGCTTTAAAAATAATTCTAATTTCAGATTTGTTACTTTATTTTAATGTCCGTTCGTGCACATCAGATTCACGCTTGGTGGAGACTAAATCAGAGACTAAACCTTGTAGCAAATATATTTGCGTCAGGTAATTAATCTTTTTAGTTGTATTCTCCCACACACCCATCCACCCTTTCCTTCTTGATCGGTTGGACCCCCTCCCCCTCGCACACCTTTCCACTCTCTTAAGTAAATTTCAATGAAATTCTAATAACACGAAGGACTGGGGTTATATTATCATAAAGTCGTCACAAATTCCCATGTTTATTGGGACACACTACCTGATAATTTGGTCAGTTATCTTGTTTGCCAGTATTAATTGAACGATCACAATTTAAATTGTTAAATTCTTGTCTTTCTTCAATCTTAAAATTCATGGCCCAATTTGATTGTCAAATTAAAACTTTGACAACAATTTATTTTATTGGACGAGGAATGATTTGATTCTGGTAAAGAGGGGCGGTATGTGGAAGGGGGACCGGAGGGGGGGGCTGGTTTCCCTAATCTCTCTGATGCGTCATTACTACTGCGTAGTTCATTTTACAAACTATAATACGCCGTCTGTGTTACATTCAGATATTTCCTCACCAATATTAACTTGAATTTTATCCTAATTTTAGAACTAGTTTTAATATGTTTGTCAGAGGAGTTAGAGGTTGAATTCAAGAAAAATCAAATAAGTGAATGTTGAAGATTTTTTCTATTAATAGGGTTTTATAGCACAACAGTGACGGATGATAAAACGGCAAGGGCTCAACTAGAAGGTAGAAGAATACATCTGGGGTGTTTTAGGGTTTTATTTACTGAATTGTGAAAAATAATTTTTTTAGGGGGGGGGGGAAATAAGTTAAACATTTAAGCATTAAAAAGTTATAAAAAAGTATGAAAAAACTTGCCTTTTAATGTTTATTTTTTTCCCCCCAGACCCTAAAAAAAACGGGTGTAATTCTTAAAAATATACACCCCTGTTTTTAAAGGAATGGGTTGGCACTTTTATGATTGAAATGTTCAAATCATTTTTCTGTTAGTGAAATGAAAAGAAATTGAGATTTTTTCTTGCAAAATCATTCAGCACTTAATGTCCCTTTGAAAATTAATTCACTAATTCATAATTACAAGCAAAATTATTATTTCCGTCTTGAAATGCTAGACTGAAAACGTTGAAACTTAAAAGTCGTTTTTCCCAAGTCAAACAATTTTTTAAATATCAAAAAAACAACAACTGGACAGTATTCAGGGGTTCGAGGCGTATAACCTTAGACACCCATGAAAGCATGTTTTGATGTAATTGAAAAATCCGAACGATCTATGTGAGTGTGCAGTCCATTGAAAAAATATTTTTAACATTTCAGAACATATTTTTTAAAGTATATTTAATTGAACAATTTTTGCTGTTTGTTGATATTATGAAAAACTTTTTTCATGGTTGTCCCAGGATTATTTACAGGAGAGATTTTAAATTATAAATATCCGGTGATCTATTGTTATAAAATCTACTTGGTTCAACCGTTTGGAGGTATACTGGAACCAAACCAGCCAACATACCAACATTTATTTTATTTTGTTAAAATCCTTTTTTCCCTTTTCCTAATTTAGTTAAAAATGTTTCATGTTTTAATGCTGAATTGGAGAAAATAGTTGAATATTATTGAAAAATATTGTTTAAAGGGACTGATTGCGTAATTGCAAGGTACCCTCCATGTCGAAGTTCGCAATGCCCAAGTCACAACGGTACCCTTGAAACCTGTATCTGATCAATAATGTGGAAGATATTGTCGTTTTTCTAGGTTTACATCTATATATAAATTTGGCTTGTCTGTCTGTCTGTTTGTTTGTTTGTTTGTATCCAATAAACGTCAAAACGGCTGAACCGATCGGGCCCAAATTTTTTGTGGGACATCTAGGGACCCCAGGGAAGGTTTATGAAAAATCAAAATTTCAAATATTTGTCTCTATCAAAATTCGATAGTCATTAAATTTTTAAAAATTTTGAAAATCCGCGAAATTTTTTGTAAAAATCCGCGAATTATTTTTGTTTTGTTTTACGATGTACACAAAGAGAACATGTTCACAACTAATTTAGAAGATGGGCGCGACGCGCCATCTAAGGCTAGAAAGAAGGGCGCGAAGCGCCTTGAATTTCTAGTGTTTTAAATTCTGATAATTCTTATATACTTAATTTCCTGAAAGAATAATGCGTTGTGAATCGGGCATCATTACCATCTTAACATGAAGGCTCACTTGCAGGGGCGGATAAAGGAGGTGGCGGCAGGGCCTTCGCAACCCTCTGAAGAATTCAGGGGGGGACGTAGCCCCCCCTTAGATTTCAGAATAGCTCCTTAATAGCACTTAAGGGCAAGAAAACCTAGTGCAAAACAGGAAAATATATATCTTAAAAAAATTTTGTTCCTTAATCTGGATGTTTTTGTTCCGAAATAAATCTAGCACCCCCCTCACTTAAATCCTGTATCCGCCCCTGTTTACTTGAAGTTATACTTACAGTCCCTTGAAGGGGAAAATAATGTAATTTACTTGTGTATATTATATAGGTAGTAAAGCAAAGAATACAGGAGTACCTGAGGTACCAACGACATGTTGTATGTCTGGGTGTGCTAACTGCGTCTGGTTGAATTACGCTGAAGATTTAGCAAGGTAAAGATTAAAACAATGTTCAAAATGATACAGGGAATAAGATTGACCCTTAGATTTGAAAAACATTATTTAGATATTTTGAGAACAGAGCTGAAAAGTTAAATATGGAAACCCTTTTATCTGAAGTTGAAGAAAAAATTCAGGCAGGGAATTTTTAAATAAAGTACTTATCCTTCGGAGATTTTCAAACTGTCAACATTTACCAAAAAAACACATTAAAATTTAACGATTCTTAAACAATTATTCCCTGCTCTTTTAGGATCCGATGATTAAATCGTTTATTAAAATGGAGATTCGGTTTAAATACAAGTAAACGTCAAGTTTGAAGTTAATCTCTCAGAGTGTAACTTCCATCAGAAGAAAGGACGCCAAATTCCAGTTAATGATCTCAGTTTTTCAACTAACTAAATTCAAAATTGTTTTCCAGTTCAAGTAAATCCTTCATCTTTAATCCAAAATTTATCTCGGAACCGGTGAACAAAAACCAGATTTATCTCCAAACTTTTCAGTCGGCCACAGTGAAATTAATCTCAGGCCTTAAATCTCACAGATTTATCTCCGGTTGGTATATAGTGAAGCTAATCTCAGGCCTTAAATCTCACAGATTTATCTCCGGTTGGTAAATAGTGAAGTTAATCTCAGGCCTTTAATCTCACATATAATTTATTATTGCAAACTTTATCTCTCATATTTAGCTACAAAATACTCAACAATGAAAAAAATTAGTCTCCCAAATTCATCTCCTAATATCTGAGAGGACTAGTCACTAGTTAATCTCTCAATTTATCGCAGATCTATGCCTAGTCTATGCAGAGTGAAGTTAATCTCAGATCTCTTATCCCCAAAATGTACCTTAAAACTTCTCTACCGGGAAGTAAATCTTCCAGATAAGTCTCCAAACAGCAGTTAATCTTCGAACTAAAATGTTTGTCTTCCAAGTTGAAGATACCTATGTTGTGTTGAAGAGTAGACTTGAAGGGGAGAAGGATCATGACTGTTCTATCCTTTGTTCTAACTCATATAACCAGTTTTCACGGATACAAACCGCCCAGGCTCTTCAAACCTTCTTCAACATAGACAAGGATATTATTCATCTCACCTTAAATCATGTTAATTGACTCATATTTTTCCTTTAAAAATACATATTTTTTTGTAATAATACATCCTTCAGTTTTATGAAGCCAACTGTTGAAAAGTTGAAAATTTCCCCCCAAGTTACCAAATTTTCGCGCATTTTTTTGATGGATGAATCTCAGATAGAGCATGCGGGTGTACCTGAATCCGAATATATATCCTTCCATGAATTCTTGGCCTTTATATTCCAGAACGTGTGTAGTCTTCCCTCCACACCGAGGACAGAGGCTTTCCTGGACTCTCTAATCAACCTCTCGGCCTCAATCCTGAACAGGAGGAGAAACTTCAACTCCCTGGAGGTTCTCAAACCTCAGGCGGAATCTCTTTATCATCTTAAGAGTTATAAAAGGCTTCTTGATAATATTGTGAACCTTGACCCAACCACTAGAACCTGTACTCAATGCAGAAAAGTGTTAGAGTCTCTGGTTGAGTTGAGAACACACATGATAATATTCCACCTTGGGTCCGACAACTGGAAGCTGCTGCAGCCGGGGGTTGCAAAAGAATTGCGCTGTGCTCCTTGCTCACAACAATTTTACTCTGTCTTTGAATATTTACTTCATTTAAACTTCTGTATAGGGAAGGTTGGGCATCACATATGTTTTTGACACACTTGAGGTTTGATTTTTAAGGTCTTTTCATGCTGGAGGGGGTGTTTTATTAGCGGGGGAAGGCAGTCGGCCATAAGCCACAATATTTTCCCCTTCCATGCCATAAATTACTCTTTTTTGTCTTCCGGCGGCCATTAGCCACAACCGTAGTCTTCCATTCCATCATTTGAGTCTTCCGGCCAAAAATACTTTTTTAAATGGTATATTTAGGGATTTTAAAGTGTGATTTTCAAAAATCCAGCAATGTTACACAAAAAAATCACAACTTTAACAATTTTTTCAATTCAACTTAAGATTAATATATCGGTTGTTAATTTGTTAAACAACTGCTTTACAAAGAAATTTTTGGCAAATTTGACTGAGTATTACATCTTGAAATATTACAAAGTCTAACGCTTATTCAATTAATAACTCGCTTTATAAAAATAAAAATAAAAAATGGATCCGGATCCGGAACCAGTTTATTTCTCAAAAGTTTACTGAATTTTTTTTAACAAAGCAGAATTTTCAAATTATTTCGCTTATTTATATGCTTAAACTTGATGAACCATTTAATCCGGATCCAGGAAGTCAAACCAACGGATCCGGATCCTAAGCACTGAAAAATTCCCTACAGTCGTCTCTGAAGTCTCATCTTTTGTGGGTAACCCTGTACTCTTATAGCATTTATCTAGAAATCTAGATGCCTAACCTCTTTTTAGGCTCCCGGGACCTAGAGAAAACTGCTTATATTCGGAGGATGAGAGAAATGAAAACTTTAAACATCTCGAACTCCAACTTCTGCCACCTATGTATGATTACCCTGCCCTGTCGGGAGAACTTCCTCAAGCATCTGCAGGTTCATGATGATGGGTTTGATCAGGATCCGCACAACCTTATCTGCCGTAACCCTAAGTGTGAGAAGGCAGCGGTTTATATCTCTAGTAGGAAGGTATCCATGACAAACTCAATTCTTACAACGTACTCCTGAAGTTACATTCTTAAGTTCTTTTACAAGTGCCACGGATCCGGATCCATTGGAACTGTAATATTTTACCTCCCTGGATCCGGATCCATTGGAACTATAATATTTTACCTCTCTGGATCCGGATCTGCAAAAATGTTTGGATCGTGGTGGACAATTTTCAACCAAAACATTGAATTTTTTGTGTGTGTTTATGAGTTGGTCATGATGCCTTGGTGTATAGGGAGGCTAGACTGTATATTCTAGTGAAATCCATCAACAACTACAGCGTGTATACGTGTGGGGCGTGTGGTATAGATAAGCTCAAGGGTTCAGCTTACACTCATCACCTCAAAACCCAACATATTGGATTAGATGTTTGGAACAGACTAGACTCAGGGTAATATAGTGGTATATTTTTTAAATTTTCCTTCCCCCTGGTCCCCTCTTGGTAAACATTGATGAGAGGTTTTGCATATTTACTTCTTTTCTTTTGGACTTGATTAATTAGCTCAGGAGATGGACCCCCCTCCACACACACTTCAAATTATAAGAACATTTTTCGTTTAAAAATAGTTTTGATTCTTCAGAAAATGTCGGAATAAAACCGTTTGTTTTACGAAATAGAAAATACACTAAATCTTTTTTTAATTTGGATACTAAGAGCAAAAAATTGTGAATCTTCTTTTTAGGAAACAAACCTATTTATTTGATTTTTTTCTGTTCGAATAAGGAAGAATTCAGACATATTATTTTATTTTTAGTTTTTAATTTTCTTATTCATTCCTACTAGCTTACTTTACCCAATCCAGATAAAATATGGGCAACGCTAAAAATAAAGCTATAATAGTTGAAATGTTTTTGTATTCATAGTTAAAACTATATTTTCTTATTTCATGGTGTACCTTCTTTAAACATTTTTATATAAGAAGAGTGTATTATAACTAGCTTGGGAACCCAGGGCTGCCCAGGATACTAAAAGTTACTCTCGCCGTTTACCCGCACTTCAACGATTTTAACGGGAAAGTAGACCCACTCAATTTAGAATATCTAAGCATTTCCGTTAATCTCCCAAGTTCCCAAATTAAATTTTGAGCCAAATCGGTATAGGGGTTCTTGGGTTATGATCGGACAAATAAACAGACAGACAAACAAAGATTGCAACTTTATACATATAAATATACAGATACATGATGCTTATAGCTATTTACATTTATTTAATGGCTTAAACACTATTTAAAACATCACAGAAACTTAGGAAGATTGATATAATTGTAATTTATAATCGTTTAATGTACATCGTACATACATAAAGATTCTGCAGTGAATTATCAAGGACTAATTGGATTTCTTTGTTCCCGTGAGTTCTTCACTGATCTCCCAAAGACGCTTTGCGTCTTCTTTAATTAGAGCCCGGGGCGCTGGAAGTTTCTCTCTGAAAAATCAATTAGAATATCATGAAAAAAAACTTTTATTGCAAAATAACACTTTCCCAGTTGGGGGTTCCCGTGGGATTTTCAAACCTTGCTCATAATCCCGAGTGCTTGATCCACTGCATGTGGACTTCCAATTTGAGGTTAAATGTTTAATCTCTTCAGTTCAGATATTCTTCCCCTGATCAAAGCTCCCTTTAACCCTTTGATCGTTTTCCCTTCAACCCCTGACTGAATATGATTACCATGCAGGATATCGAAAAAAGATTAAATTAATCTAGAGAGTAACAAAAGATCCCAGCTCTGTTTATATTTATTTAAGTTTGATTAAAACCTGCAATCACTGTAGTATCTTCCAGTTTGATTCTCTAGTGAATCATCCAAGCAACAAAATAGACTTGTCTGTGCACCAGACTCTACAGTCTAGAAATAGCAAACATTTAATAAATAATGGACGATGTGTTTTATATATTGTAGGAGGATGTGTTTTTGTATTATTAGGATGTGTTTTGTATATTGTAGGAGGATGTGTTTTTGTATTATTAGGAAGTGTTTTGTATATTGTAGGAGGATGTTTTTTTGTATATAATAGGATTTGTTTTGTATATTGTAGGAGGATGTGTTTTTGTATTATTAGGATGTGTTTTGTATATTGTAGGAGGATGTGTTTTTGTATTATTAGGAAGTGTTTTGTATATTGTAGGAGGATGTTTTTTTGTATATAATAGGATTTGTTTTGTATATTGTAGGAGGATGTGTTTTTGTATTATTAGGAAGTGTTTTGTATATTGTAGGAGGATGTGTTTTGTATATTTTAGGAGTATGTGTTTTTGTATATATTAGGATCATGTGTTTTGTATATTGTAGAACGATGTGTTTTGTATATTGTAGTACGATCGTGTTTTTATATTGTAGTACGATGTGTTTCGTATATTTTAGGACGATGTGTTTTGTATATTGTAGGAGGATGTGTTTTTATATCTTACGACGATGTGTTTTGTATATTATAGTATTAAAGGAGAGGGAAGGGTAAAATTTTACTAAGAATCAAGAAAATTTCGTCCATTTTTAATTTTTTAAACAAAAAATCGAAACTAATTTGAAGATTCCTTGAAATTATGAATGAACTTACTAGAACTTAGAACAGTTTATACAATGTTTTTCAAAGTAACATCAGATAGAACTTGCATATTTATTATTTATACTCTTAAATTTGTTGCAAACATCATTTTACCTTTATGAATGGCATGACAGCCCACTTAACAAATACACCAACTAAAGCTCCATAACTGTCCCCCATGTGCCGGCCTAGATCTGTTGCAATCACTCCAGGATGCAGTGAATAGACGTTAATTCCATTCTTAGCTTCTCTCTCGGCTAATTCAGATGAAAACAAAACATTGGCGAGTTTAGATTGGGAATAAGCTTTAAAGGGTTCATACTTGATCTTGTGGAAGTTGATATCATCAAAGAACATTTGTCCACGCTCATGCGCAGTAGAACTGACATTGACAATCCTAGTTCCTGGACCTCCTTTATGCAGGAGAGGAAGGAGAAGGTCTGTCAGAAGGAAATGTCCGAAATGATTCGTCCCAATCTGCATCTCCAACCCGTCCTCGGTCCTGCTCAAGGGACAGGCCATTATTCCTGCATTGTTGAGAAGGATATCAATCTTGTCTAGGTTCCTGTTCAGTTTCTCCGCACACTCTCTGATACTCTTAAAACTGCTAAGATCCATCCGTTCTACTAATATCTCTCCTTCCGTTTCTCGAATATCATTAGCAGCTGTCTCTCCTCGTTCTAAACTCCTGCACAACATTATCACCTTTGCGCCCCTTCTGCTCAACTCTTGGGCGCACACCTTACCTATACCAGTGTTAGCTCCTGTTACCACGACAACCTTCCCATCTAATCGTTTCTTAGAGAGACATTTTGGTCCTTGCATCCAAACTTTTATGCAGTTTAATGATAAAATCGCTGCAATGCTGCCACCAGCAATTGTTGGTAAAATTGACATAGTAGTTTTTCTTGAATATTTTTTACTTTTATATATTCTGCTACTTCGCTGATTGTGTGGTTAATGTCACTTTGCACTTGTAATCCTTGTAATATATAACCGAGTTCTCTGATTCCGAAGCCTTACAATGTTCACAGTGTTGGGTTGCTGAACATCTATTGTATCCGGGTTAAATCTATATAATACAGCGCAGACTGACTGAATTGAACTGTAGTAGAGAAAGAGAGTAGAGACTAGGAGTAGGACTGAATTCTGTGTACTGGCCTGAACTGGCCGAGCGGGGTTGTTGGTTGGCTTTCCTCAGGAGATCAAAGAATACGTATGGCAGATTTTCTTTCTTTTTTGCCTGCATATGCATTCACTCGTATTCCATCAGGCGCGTATGCGGGATTTTAGCCTGGGGGGGGGGGGCAAAATTAATTTTTTTTTGTCCTCCTCCCCCGGAATACTTTTGTTCAAAACTTCAATTAACTCCATTAAAATACATTAAATACACTAAATTTTGTGGTTTACTAACATTATAGATCCTAAAAATAATTTATTTGCTCGAAAAACTATAACTTAAACTTTTTATCTTTAAAGTTATCACTTAACTGCATCAGAGCTAGCCAGTGGCGCAACTAGTAGTGTTGTGAGGGGGGGGAGGGGGCGAAACTTTATTTCCACGGGTTCGGGGTGGATTTTTTTTTGTAAATGAAAGCGGTGTTTTAAGGGTTTGAAGTCGAAAAAACCAGACATTTGCAAATGTTGCAGGTCTGGCTCTGTGTTTAATATATACCATTTCTTCTTATAACCCATGGCTTGTTTTTATGTTAAGAAAGATAACTGTGCTGTTAAATGATCAACATAAGTCATCTCGATAAATGTGTGCGCGAAGCGCAACCAAATTATGTCCTAGTGTCGTTTTATGTATTTCTTAGTGTCTATACATAAGATTTTTGTAATTCATTACTAGTCGACGTTTGCTCATAATTCATATATAATCTTTCTGTAGTCCCTCTGCCCTTGTTTGACAATAAAGCCTTCCTAAACAGAGGCGCAACTAGAAGGGGGGCGGCTGGGCGCGCGCCCTCCCCTAGCACCTGAGAGAGGGGGCCCCCCCCCCTGCAGAATGAAAAGAAAGAAAGAATGGCGAAAATCAGTATCACAGGAATAAGAAAACCAATAGAGTTATTGTAGAAATTTTATTATACTATAGTTAGTTTTAAAAAGAATATTTTATCTTTCTCAATTCTCAAGGCTAAAGGCTATCGTAAACATTTAATGTAAAAAAAAGTTCTGAACTGTATTTTATTTGTGTTGAGTTTATAGAGTACTCGTAGATATCAAACTTTGAATTCTTATGGTAAAATATTCCAAGTTTGAAATATCAAATGTTTACACCAATCGGTGCAAAGATTTAGGGATTAGAATATTTGAGTTTGTGGCAAAAACTCAGTTCCAAATCTAGAGAAAATTCTGAACCTGGCAAATTTCTAACTGATTATCATATTCGATAACTAACAAGATTTATCTTCTTTCACAGAATTTCTGTAAAATCGAATATGAATTTAGATTATGAATGTTGGTTAGATTAATTCAATAACTTCAAGAGAAAAGGTAACATTATCTGTCCTTTTTCAATGTAGATGATTGAAATTATTATTTACCTATGTATTTTTATGTTTTTTTTTTCCAGAAACTATAAATGATTATTTCTTGCAATTTAATCTGTAATTAAACCAGGTACTTAAAAAATACTCTTTTGCGATTCGCACACATATTCAATGAATTGACTCATATCATTCATTTTACAGCTGTTGGAAGTATAAATTTTGTAAAAACACAAGAACAAAAAATCGATTTGAATTGAACACAGCCAAATCTTCCAACTTAAAATTTCCTTTTTTTCGACTTCAAACCCTTAAAAAAGCACTTATGTTTTTGAAAAATTTTCGAAAAAGGGGGGAAACCCCCCCAAACCCGAACAAAATAATATATTGCCCCCCCCCCCTAGCAAAAGTCCTAGTTGCGCCTCGGTTCCTAAAGCCTGGAAAAGTCCTTATAGTCGACAAAATCTTATTTCTTTAAATTGATCTATATTTAAATGCAGTTTTCTTTGGTCGTAAGTTGTTTTGTAACCTTAAATGTATGAATTGTAATCCTCATAAGAAGAGAACATATATATATATATATTTTGGAGGGAAAATTAAATATTCCTGAATTTCTTTAAGTTGAAACAGAGACAATAGTTAGCAGGGGCGTAAATAAGGATTCTGTAGGGGGGGGGGAAATNCCCACCCCCTAGAAAAATATCATGATGTATATCAAATTATTGGTCTTGGTTGGGTTTGATTTGCATTTTCCACTCATTTTTGGCATTTACAAACTCCATCAAATAAAGGCAATTCATTTACTACTTTTCAGTTTTCACCTTGTTTTATATCCTTCATTATAGTCATTCATTTTAAATTAACTACAAAGATCTTTAAAAAAACTGAAGTATAACATAAAAAATAATTTACTCTAAGAAGAAAAAATGTACCTTTTTTAAATCTTTAGAAAAGCTACTCAGCAAAACTTTGAAACTTTGTTAATTTCACTATACTAAAAGAGAAATGTTTTACTTTTTAAAATTTGATTCTTAATAATCTTGATCTTTTAACACTTTATTTTTTTTGTAAAACTCCGGAAGAGCTTTCTACTTAATTGGACATATGTGATACTTAATTTGACATATAGTGCAAGTACGCTACTCTGCATTAAAAAACTCGATTTTGGGTAAAATTTATCCATGTTACTTTGTTAAAGTTGATCGAGTAAGATTATCTGCGCGAAGCGCCAAAAAGAAAATTCCTTTGAATGGTAATCATGAACATGGAGAATGGAGATCAAATTACTAAACGGGGATGTTTGTGTCCCCAAGGGGGGGGGGGGGTAATGACCCCTAATATTCTAGGGGGGTAATCACCCCAAGGATTCTAGGGGGGGTAAGTAACCCCAATAACCCCCCTTATTTACGCCACTGGTTGCAGACTGTAGTACGCTTAGACCTTTTTAGATAAAAGCACCACTTGGGATTTAGGGATTCTTCAGAATTCAATTAGACATTAGGAACTCTTTTTAACCCTTTTTTAAATATAATATTTAGCATCTTTTTATATTTAGAGTTGTAATCTCTGTTTATTTGTTTGTATGTCCGATTATAACTCTTAAACTCCTTGACCGATTTGCCTCTAATATTGATTGGGGGACTCGGGAGAACCACAAGAATGTCCGAGTGACAACTTACTACAGGACCATTGAAATCTTAATCTGATAAATAACGTCTGTTTACTGGTTTGAAAGTGCCATATATTTCTTCTTTGGTCTGATCAAGATTCCACAAATGAAAATTAGCAGTTTTCAAAATCAAAAACATGGTTATGTAATTTAAGTTATTGTGGGTACCATTGTAAAATGGACATAGCATTCGATCAATGGAAGACCACTTGAAATCAGGTTTACAGCCCCTTTATGCTTAAGGTGTAGTAGAAACTAGAATATTTAAATTGTTTAACAAGATCTGATTGTATTTAGGATATCAACATTGTTGTTGTTGAGGGAGGCCCTAAACAACAGAAAAAGTATAAACAACTCATGCTGAATAGAATAAAGTAAGTTACTCAAAAACTTGAAATTATCATTTCGATAATAAGTCCGTATTTTTCTTTTAAGAAACTATTATTTAACTTTTTCTTAATAGTGTCAGTTTAAACAAATCCTTTCCCTGAGAACATTTTTCCTTCTGGTGAAATTAACAAACGACAAACTATCGAAATCGTAACTGAAGTTTATTGCAAATAAAAGAAATCTTCTTTTTCTAGTTATAAAATTGAAGCCCTTTTTTGTTGCGTTTCGTTTTCCAACATCGCACGTTTATTCTTATTCACATTTTTTCCAGCTTTTCACCTGAATATTTTTTGTTCCAATTCACCAAAGGCTTTTAACAAGTCCAATCATGAATTTGATTTCATTTTATTAATTTTAATAAAATTCTCGCTAAAGCACTATAGTGACCTTTCGGGGATACAGAAAAAAACTTTTTGAAAGCCTGCAATTGGAATACATTTGTTTCTTAAACCATTTTAGACCTACGGGTTAAATTTATTCCGTTTTTATATCCCGTGTTGGTCATAACCTGCAGGGATAAATTTCATTGAGGGATTATGTCTTTATCCCGCATATTTCCAGAACAATCGTTCAAGATTAACAATACTCCACACAAAAGTTCCGATATCAGGTTTATTAGAACAAGAAAATAGCAATATAATATAAATTATGATTTGTCTGCACTGTCAGAAATACACAATTAATTGTATAGATAATCAATTTTTTCTAATTTTAGAACTTAATTATCATAACAATATTGCTGTATCGGTGTCATATTAATGCGTAAAAATAGTTTGTATATTTTCATTAGAATATCATGACGTTTAAAACTAAGATTTGTATGTTCAATGTGTATTGTGTATTTTACAAATTCATTTAAAATATATAAGAAGGAGTTTATTTTAATGATTTAATATCCTCTGTGCTTCAAGATATTTTGTATAAAATGTAACACATTTAACATTTAAAATGAACAACTTATCCGAACATCTTTAATAGGGATGGGTAATTTCTTGGTAAGAAAATCATAATAAAAGATTTTTTTTAAATCGTTGCTTATTCTCCTTTATGCCGGCATCATACATAAATTGATGTTTATAGAGATGAGATTATAGTGTACATAATCCATTCATATAATTTTATCTGTGTACATAATGTTATCTGTATCCTCCCCCCCCCAAAACTTAAGACAGGGCTGGGTATCTTCATGAAAACCAGTTTTGAAACCCGGGTTCCATGAATGGAGTTATGAAATATTATTTTATTCAGTTTCTTCATATTCTCCATTATTTTAAAATCTCCCAAATCAAAATCTATACAAATGATAAGTTCCCAAAAAGGAAACTCGGGAGTTTTCGTCAACGAACTCTTTAAAATTTCGGGCTCAGGGCCCTGTGTAGTGTGTACGCTAGAACAATTAGAAGTTGTACATTTCTTAATGTTGTTTGTGTACATAATGTTATCTGTGTACATAATGTTATCTGTGTACATAATGTTATCTGTGTACATAATATTATTTGTGTATATTATGAAATTTGTATACATTATGTTATCTGTATACATTATGTTATCTGTGTACATAATGTTATCTGTGTACATAATATTATTTGTGTATATAATAAAATTTGTATACATTATGTTATCTGTATATATAACGGTGTCTGTGTACATAATGTTATCTGTGTACATAATGTTGTCTGTGTACATAATGTTATCTGTGCACTGTTATCTATTTACATAATAATATTAAGGTGGGATGAAGATCTGTACAAGGATAAGGACGGAAATGAACATCAGAATGAATGTGAGCTGGTTTGGGAGGTAGGTATTCTGGGATTAAAGAGTTGGTTAACCTTTTTGGAAATACATAAAACACCCCTATTCTTAGAGGTTGGAAATATAAAACGCCCCTATTTTTATAAATTAAAAACACAAAACACCTCTATTTATAGAAGTTGGAAACCTAAAAAGCCCCTATTTTTATAAATTGGAAACTCAACACACCTATATTTATAGAAGTTGGAAACATAAAACGCCCTATTTTTGTAAATTGGAAACACAAAACGCCCCTATTTTTATAAATTGGAAACACAAAACACCCCTTTTTTAGAAATTGGAAACACAAAACACCCCTTTAATTATAATTTGAATACATTGAACCATTTTAAACCATTTTAAAGGAAATTGTCGCTAGAGGCGTTTACAGGGGGAGGTCTATTGCCCCCCCTTGCCCCCCCCCCACCTGGATTATTGAAATTAATTCTTTCTTTAAGGGTTTCAGGTTCTCCCTGGAAAAAAGGACTAACTTAACCTCCCTCCCTGTATGTTCCCCTGAGTTTCATTTTACTATTTGTTTTTAAACACCTGTTTAAATGTTGTTTTATTTTAGGGGCAGACTAAACAGAGAAACTTTGGTGAAATGAAGTTTAAGCTCTGTCCTACTGAGGGGTTTGCCAGGGATCATTTCAAGCAAGCAGGGGTGGAACACTACTGGGATCAGGTATGGATATATATAGTTCTTTTGAGGTAATTAGAGGGACCATTTCAAGCAAGCAGGGGTGGAACACTACTTGGATCAGGTATGGATATATACATAGTTCTATTGAGGTAATTACAGGGACCATTTCAAGCTTGGCAAATTTTCATTTTAAACTGGTTTAAACTGGTACAGACGTAATTTTTCATGTAAAACTGGTTTTAACCGGTTTAAACTGGTAGAGACGTAATCTTCCTTAATTACATTTTTGATTCTCAACAGTGCCAATGAAACCTTTAACATTGAGAAAGTCTGAAAATATCAGCGTTTTTTATCTTGATGCTATAATTCTGTCATCTTTCTTCCTTGTTTCTCTTGCATAAATCCACAAGTTACTTTTGTTTAAACTTTTTTGATAGGAAAACTGGGATTTCTTCATATTTTTTGTTTTGACGAAAGGTATAGTGTAAATCCGGGATGTAACAATATAACTTTAAGAAGAGGGTAACTTGAAATTATGTCAAAAGTCTCTTTAATGTTTGTTTACCTATTAATAGTTTTATTAATTTAGGCGTACAGTACTGCAGTTCTAGCCAGCTCGGGACAGCTCTAATATATTTTCTTAGAACTGTAATATTTTTATTCAAAACTTGTTTTTCATGTAATTTCTCATTTTTAGATCAACAAATAAACATTGAACTAACTCAAGTTGTATATTTAGTAATCAGAATTACAGTTTTACATCAGCTGATTTGCTACAGTGAAACCCATAACACTTTAAAGTTTTTTAGATTTTTGAAGATGAAAATAATATAAAAGCATATGAAACTTTCAATTTGTACAGGACGTGTACACAGATCGATTTCACTTTATAATTTGATTGTCAAGCTGTCAATGAAACTATTGTATGTCTCTGTTTCATTGAAGGGTCACTTGAAAATTCAAGAACAGTCCCTTAAAGTTTTATTTTTGTTTCATTCATCAAGTTTTTCTAAAAATATGCTTTCGTAGTAATAAACCTTGCTTAAAAATACTTCTCATAAAGTTTTTTCTTTTCAAAATCAGAGGCGTAGTAAAGGGAATATATTAAATAAAATATTTCTAAACAATCCTGGAAATTTATTTAGTAAACTGCACTGGGGGGGGGGGTTCCTCCGATAATTCTTCTAGCTAATAGATATTTTTGAATGATATGTATCTTTCATCCTGAAAAAGATTTAAAATTTTCCATAAGTTAAAAACAAATTTGAATTCTTCTAATGCTTTTTCTCACACATTGAATAGGAGAATAGTACAAAAACGAAATGAATTAAGGAAAACTAATTTTTAAGAATCTTATTAAAAGTTCTGTGCAAATTGTTGTTTACCCCCTCCTCTTATCCATTCTTTTTGAAAAAGAAAACCCGTATGTCCAAACTTTAATTTAACAGATCTATTTCTAGAAGACAATTATAAAAACTTTAACATACATTTTTATAACGGTTTTAACGGATGAGAAGATAAAAAGGGAATTTAAAGAAGACGGAAATTAATATATTTTAGTTATTTTCTTAAAAAATAATTTTTCAACATAGTTAAGGAATTTGGGTGTTTTTTGGTTGTTACGAATTGAAAAGCCCATGGGCCATGGCTAGGGGAAGCAAATTCCATGTTTATTCGTCATTTGTCAGTTTTGGCAAACTTCTTCATTTTCAATTTTCTTTCTCACAAACTTTTAAACAGTTCAAAAACAGGTTCTCAAAATAACAATTCTCCGAAGAGAAAGGCTTTTTAAGACTTTTTTACTATGACAAATTCAATTTATCCATGAAAAACTACCGCAAAAGTAGGGGCTTATTTCAATTGCTTTCCTTCCAAAGACAGTTCCGCGTGTTGAACAATTCTAAATTGACATTCCAAAAAAAAAATTTTTGAATGTTTTAAAAATGATTAAAAAATGTAATGTAATTCAAAATTATTGATAGAATCTGTAATTTATATTTACTCAATGTTTAATGTAATTTTACTACTGTCAATGCATCAAAGAAGCATTTAAATCTTTAAAAAAATATATGCCAATGGAATTTTAAAAACTGTTGTTAAAAAATTTCGAATTTTGAAAAAAAATCAAGTATTTCTAGTCAATGTTACCCCAAGAATACCCTTGGGTTTCCTCAAAAAATGTCAGCCAATTTTTTCCAGCCGTTTTGCCAGCTTTACAGGGTGATATGAAACATGACAGTTGGTGAATAGTTTAAAATGATTTCTTCCATAAAATGTCAAGTTGTTTGATAAAAATATTGGATGGCAATCATACTATAGTAAAATTGATTTCAAAGTAAAATAAATTTTTAGGAAAAGATGTTTTTTTTTTAACGAAAAAAGCTGCAAAAAGCCTTAAATATCCAATCCAATATATGAAAACTAATTACCAAATGACATTTTTCGTGAGACACCCAGTAGCATAACATATAAAGAAATATATACTAGGCTTTTTTAGGGCCCATCTTCTATCTCAACTTTTAATTTTGGCTCTATCTGAGAGTAGGGTTGTTAATCGAATAAACAATCGTTTTCGTTTCGTTTTTATTTTTTTCTAAAAACGATCGTTAAATTTTTAGAAAAAAAACTATCGTTCTGAAAACGAACCACTCGTTTTGAACTTTAAAAAACGAAAAACGATAGTTTAAAAAAAAAATTCACTTATGAATCAGCTTTATAACGATTAATTTCAATTTTTTTCAGAAGATAAGGTTATAATGTTGCCTTAAATGTTATTTTTTTAACGAGAAAAATAAATGTTTTCTGGCCTCCGTTTTTCCGACCAAGAAATTGTATTTTCTCTGTAAAATGTCGTTACCGTACATCATTCATACAAAAGTGAGAAAGTGTATGATAATAAATATTATACACATATTTGTATGAATGGTTTACGGTTTGAATGATAAATAATAAGTTGCAATAAACATTTATATGCAAGATTTTACACCACCTATTCATCACTGTGATCATTCCATCTAAAATATTTGTTCTGCTGCCTTCTTAATTCAATTGAACTTTTTAAATGCTAACAAATGAGATGCAAAGAAGGATGTGAAAATATTGCAAACCCTTCGCAAAACACAACAAAAATGGAAACATAATTTGAGGCCCATCGCTTCTACCCCCCCACCCCCCGTTATCTAGGGTTCACAAAGTCTTAAATCCTGGTGACCGTGGAGGTTTTTTATGAGGTCGGATATAAGGTACGAGGATGCTCCCATGCACCGGTTGAACCCGGCCTCATGGCCTCACACAACACACATTTTTATAGATCACCCATTCGGTCCTCGTTCTTTGATCAACCAGGTTTAATATACTGTACTGTACTCAACACAATATACGGTACAGTACCTAAGGATCACTAAGGGGAAACACTTACGGTCTCACAAGGTTATAATGCAAGGAAAGTTAATTGCAGTTGCGTATACTCTGCGTACATATAGAAACCAGTTCTCTCTGGGCGGAATTTTGAACAAGAATAGGTGCATCAGTGTTCGTTTATTATCCGAGGAGGATAAAAGCATTGAGTTTTGAAAAATTTTGAGAATTCACATGATAGTATACTGTTACCAGAATATTTCACTGATTTTTTTATGTGAAATATGGATCCCATGTCAGGCTGTGAGTGTGATGTCCGTCTTGTGTTTACATTACCGCACAGAGACTGTACACTGCAGTACAAAAGATGTTTACACTTCTGAAATAACTTTCCTTGCATTATATCCTTGCAGTCCCACATTATATTTGACCGTTTATATCTTAAAACTGCGATTTTCGGGACTAATCAGAAAATTTAAAAAGAATGAATCATTTACAGAAATCGTATAAGTAAAGATTTGCATGCAGAAAACACTAGGTTTTTCGAGTAGTATGCGGTGTATCTTAGCATTAAAGCTTGGATATAATCTATTATGATGTAGGACGCTCTGTACATGAATGCGGTAGTGTACATAGGGGACGCACAATAATACGATTATTATCTTATAGTTTGCGGCATCATAACATTTATTCATTTAAAAATCAAAATAACATAAATTATTCAATATCTTGCATAATAAATATCAAGTTGGCACAAAGTTTAAATAAATTGAACACATATACGAGCGGTTCATAGGGGGAAACACATTAATATTCGATACTGTACATAAAATACACAATATTTTACGAAGGGGGAAACATAAGATACGATACTGTACATGAGATACACAATATTGTACATATGGGGAAACATAATATACGATATTGTACATGAGATACATAAAATAAGGTAACACGGGCAGCCGTAGTACATTTGAATTTCCGAGCCGGGTCAACTTTTCCGGTCCCAGTTTGTACTGTATCGCCCGGTCATTGGGTAAATGAAGCAAACACTCAATAGGACTAGCCGGTGCAACAAGGTTGACGCGGTCAGACTTTATGTTGAATTTACTTTTACTGAAGGGTCAGAGGTTCGTGGTAAGGTACATAGGGGGACACCATACAATGATACCGGCCGTACATGAGATATACAATATTTGGTTAGGTTACGCATAGGGGAGACACATATAAAGGTTTTTTTCTTGGGTTAGACATACTACATATAGATATGACCTTGCAAAATCAGGTGGGAATTTGTTCTCTTATATCATACGTATGTAGCAAATCAGAAAGAATATTTTGAAAAAATGAATAATATTTGTTGTCTATGAAATATCGTATTTATGAACTACTTTTGTTTTGTCTATGACATGTCATCTCTTTAAAGTCCTATCTATCAAATGTCCTATCTATGAAAGTCCACATATTTTTGACTTTTTTATATCTTTCTATATAATAAAACAAGACATTCCTATATATATATATATGTTGCGTATGGCCGGCCAAACGGCTGGACCGATTGGGCTAAAAAAAAATTTGGGGACACTCATGGGCATAGAGAATAGACCATATAGAGAGGAATTTACTGGAAAAAAGTGTAAAACGGCCAATTTGTTGTATTGTTTCCATACTGCAGGTGTACTTCACATATTTATTCTATATAACCTGTTGGGCCCTGGAATATCATTTTATAGAAAATCTAAAATTATTTGACCAATTATCATTTCATATAGACTCTATGCCTTTACATTACATATAGACTTTACAAACGAAGATTTTCCGTTATAACTATAAATCAAATGATGTTTTTATTCACCTAATTCATTATAAAGTTTATTTAACAGTTTAAAAAATTCGAAATTGAAATGAATAGTCTAGGGAAGTGGGAACATACTGTATTAATGTACTCTACTGCATATAATTTGTAAACATTTACATGATTTGTACACTTTGAACTCCCTTTCAGGCTTAAAGGGTCTGAAAAAATTCATATCGAGAGATTCTTTTAATTCCTCTCTATATATTCTATTCTCTATGCTCATGGGTGGCCGGGGGTATTATACAAAATTCGAAATTATTTTCAAATTTGTTTTTCTTCAAATTTTTTTTTTTAATTTTTCCACGGGCAACGCTGGGCCTTTCAGGTAGTATTTTAAAAGCGGGTACAAAAATGTTTAGCGTATGCCGTATGCTCGTATTATAATCACAATTTATACATTTTAAGATGCGTAAATAGTAAATAGTAAATAGTAATGGAAAAGTATAATTCAATTTTTTAAAAACACTATACAGTACACGGAGACATTAGATCGGCTGCCTTTGTTATTGTTGTTACGCAAAAACTAGTTCTTCAGCAGTCCAAAAACGTCACAACAAAGTGTACAGAAACCCTATTGCCCCCTCCTTCTATTCAATATCTCCTTGGTCTAGTCCAAGGTAATAATGCAAGGAAAGTTGTTTCAGAAGTACACATTTTTTGTACTGCAAGTGCACTGTTCTTAAAGGCGAAAAGTAAACACAAGAAGGATGTCACAGTCTGTCATGGAATCTGCAATTTTTACAAAAAAAATTATAAAATATCTGGTCATAGGAAACTATGTGAATTTTCAAAGTTATCAAAATTAAATGCTTTTATTCTCCTCCTCGGATACTAAACGAACACATCTATTCTTGTTTACAAATTCAGCCCAAAGAGAACTGGTTTCAATATGTACACAGAGAATACGCGACCGCAATTAACTTTCCTTGCATTAGTACCTTGGTCTGGTGGGATAGATAGAAATATAAACAAACAATATCAGAATATACGATATGAAAATAAATTGATTGCTAACTAAAATGAAAAAAAATTCTGAAGTATGATTTTTGTAAATGGCAGAAATGCATTTTTGATTATAGAACATATCTTTCATTGGTTATAAAGTTTTCTCATGATCATGCATTAAAGGGTGTGTTCGCGAAAAATGAAATGGGGTATAGGTTTAATGTGATAAAAAAGCGCTTTTGATTGCTACTAATATTACTTCTATTTGTTGTTAAAATATTTGTATGGATACTACGTTCTTCGGTATTAATCGTTTTTAACAATTTTCTCCTTATAGACGCAACAGATAGAAGTAAGATTAGTAGCGATCAAAAGTGTTTTTTTTATAGCATCAAGCCTATACCCCCTTTCATTTTTTGCGAACACTCCCTTTAAAAAAACATGGTTTGAAGAGTTTTGGGACATTCTATTTAAACCAGATAAATGAAAACTACAGTTACCCTTTTAAAAGGGAATGGAACAACTTTTTGTAAAAGTGGAATCAAAATTTGAAATACCCGTGTCATACTGGGTGTTACTGTTAACACCGACTTTTAGACCAACTCTGCAACTTTAAACTGGTTTCTTTCGTCACCGTGTCAGTAGATAAGCCCATAAAAGACTATATTTAAGGCAGAAGACTTGATCTAACCTTGTAATTGTCATATCTTTTGAGTTTCAGGTCGTCTTTACAGTCTCATCCTCTGTAGGTAACTAAAAATATTTCCAACTGGAAGACGACATTTTAAGTTATATATATATATATATAATCAATTTATTATTCAATCAAAAAACATATAAACATCCACGTACACAATGTTTCATGGACCAATTGTCATGGACCAATCTTCAGTGAGGTCAGTCCTCGAGCAAAGAGTATTATTATATAGATATTTTTTAATTTTTTTTTATATTTAGGTTGAAAACTACTTCTTGACCCAGAGTATTCCTCCTGTAACCTAAATGAAGATCCTCGGAACCTCATTAGGAAAATATTTGATGGAAACAATCGAATGTGATCTTTAGTAACTACAGTGAGATGACCAGAAAACGTGGAATGGGATAACGACATTAAATCAATCTTTGATATTGGTATAAATTGCAAATAGTTTTACTTTTAGCTTAAAAATCAACTAAAAAAATTAATAGGTCTGTTTACACTTCACATTTCTTTGTCTTATGTTCATTGAACTATTTAAAATCGCGAGTATACTCTAAAGGTTGTTTTTTTTCAGCAGTTTTTTTTTGTTTTTCACTGTAATCAATGGCAAAGTTTGTACAAAAAAAGCATTTAGGCTGAATCCGAATATATAAGGAACTAGAAGATGGTTAAAAACACTCAATCATTTCAATTTTGAGGATTTTAAACAACAAATGATAACTGTTCACTCAAGTACGACTGACCGAAAATGCTGCACATCCTGTTTTCGTGGAATCCGAGAATTAGCTGGACTTCTACGCTCTTGACACTTACTTCTTATATTTATTTGTCACAAACTATTGATTTTAATAGGACACGTTTTACATGAATGATATTTATTTTTGATTTCTTTGCGTCTTATAAAGCTTCTATGGCAAACTGTAGAAATCAAATATTGAATTATTTAGTTCTGAAAGCATCCTTTCTCACTGTCTTAATGCTGCCAGGTGCTACAGCGGTCAGAAGGTCAAACTCTTGGAATCCTCTCTATCAAACCCAAACTCTTGATTCAGTGTACAGGCACTTCAATCCTCGACCCCATTCTCCAGATCAAGGTTCAGGACAGCACAATCCGCAATACCCTTCTCCAGATCAAGATCAAAGACACCACAATCCTCAATACCCTTCTCCAGATCAAGGTTCAGGACAGCACAATCCTCAATACCCTTCTCCAGATCAAGGTTCAGAACAGCACAATCCTCAATACTCTTCTCCAGATCAAGGTTCAGGACAGCACAATCCTCAATACCCTTCTCCAGATCAAGGTCAAAGACACCACAATCCTCAATACCCTTCTCCAGATCAAGGTTTAGGACAGCGCAATCCTCAATACCCTTCTCCAGATCAAAGTCAAAGACACCACCATCCTCAATACCCTTCTCCAAATCAAGGTTCAGGACAGCACAAGCCTCAATACTATTCTCAAGATCAAATTTCAGGGCGGAATTATCATCAGCTACAAGTTTCTGAACTGCATCGCTATCATCAACCTCAAGCAAATCAGTTTAATATGAAAGAGCTACAAAGTCAGAAGGAATCACTACTCCACAATGAGTCACAAGAAGAAAACAACTTATATTCAGAGCAGAACTACCCACAAGTCCAAAGTAAAAGTATGGCTGAGGTTCAAACGATCCCAAAGATAGAAAAAATGTCCAGTGTTTTAACAGCAAAAGAAAAAGGAATCATTAAGGTATTTGGTGTTTTACTAGATGAACAGTCAAGTTTCTATAATGATTTGAAACTGAAAAGAAGTCAGCAATTCCAGAAGTACTATTTAGAACAACTTTAATCATTCTAATTTTGTTTTATTCCAGGAAGAGATGTTTCTTGAAAGCATTTATGAAAAGCTGGGTCGACCTAAACACATTAGAAAATCCAGCTCATATGTAAACATGATCCAACAGATATTTAGAAACATGGAAGGAACCCCTGGTATAATTTCACCAGGTGATTTATTCGAATCTCTTGAGTAAGTTTCTAAACTCATACTAATCCTTCCAGCCTCAATCCTTGATAGGTAAGAATCTACTCTATACGGAGTTACTCCATTATCTTACAGGATCAATATATACTCCTATAAACATTTACTCTATCGTACAACCCAATGCTTGATTGTAGCTCTAATCCACATTATTGTTCCCTTCAGATGTTGTCCCTCTGCCAACCTATTCTGAAAAAAACGCGGTGATTTCCCTTACTCCTATGCAGTTTCAGGAGGTCGGCAAAATTTTTATATGGATATTTCATACCCAAATCTAACTAAAACATATCAAAAATCATGCGGCATCTTCTGAAAATGGGCACAAAACAATTTTAATTTACATTTTAATCTTTCATTATCATAAATTATCAGTATTTTAAAACCAATGTGTTATTTTTTAGAAAATGTAAGCATGAACAGCCATATTTAAACTTAGCCTTCAAGCTTTTAAAACAGTGTAAAATGTAATTTCTTACGGAAAATTCACCCCTGCCGTCAGAGGAGGGCTACATGCGTGTCTCGCCACCACTCATTGTTCCAGTACAGAAATTCGAAGTTCAAAGCTGCATATTAAGCTGGGATATGTCAAATAGGCCTATATAATATTCGCCAATGCATGGGATAATTTGGGCTGGTACTTGCCGTGCGTCACTTGCCGGTACAAGAGGTCAGTCGGTTTAAATTCATATTGACCCTAGTCCACCGTGGAGTACTTACATTATAAAAACATCTTAACAAGTTATAATTGGCAGGAAAAGGGTCTTAACTAGGACTGGGCAAATTTCCGTAAACAAAATGGAGGTTTTCTAAAATGAACGCCAAAAATCGTTCATTTTTAAATCGCTAACGAAACGGATTAGCCGTTTTTGAACAAATTAACAGTTAAAAATTAATATGAATTCTATTTTTTTTTACTAAAATTGCAATAAAACTCACAAAAACAATTTTTCAATGTATTTTTTTTAAATTTTTGAGCCCCCCCCCCCCCTCTACTATTTATATGATGGAACTTCTAAAGATTTTTTGCAATCTATTGTGCCGTAAATCTAATTTGATAAACTGTTAACGACTTTTTAATGGAAATTTTAAAGTTTTGACAAACCATTAATACTACAAACAACTGTTAAGGGCTGGCACTGGTAACGATTTGACAAATCATTAAAGAACATTAATTGCAAAAAAGCAACTGTTAATGGCATAATATCTTCCGTCAATGCTGTTAATAAAATTGAGATAGTTAACTAACGGTAACTTTAAAAAAGCGGAAAATACCGTTAACATAATGAACTTTCCGTTCTTATCTTTAAAACTAACAACTACTTAAAATTTTTCTTTTTTAGAACATGTTGGATCATGCCCAGCACTAGTCTTAGCATAACTTTACTTAAGAAGACATTATCATTTATAATATTTTGCATCAAATGATTACAGGGTGCAACAATATCATTATCTCGACTTTTGTTAAGTTGACAGACGGCTTATCATCTCCCTGGAAGAGTACAAGAACCAAGGAGTTGACAAGTTTGTGCTCTGGGTGCCTCAAGATTGGACTGCTCAAAAAAAGCACAACCATAATAATGGTAAACATCATTAACATTGAAAAAAAATTTAGTTTTCAAATTTTCAATAATCAATTTTCAGATGGGTTCATCCCCCTAGATCTGACAAATGAGCTAAATTCTAGAGTAGCTACAGGGGATTCAACTCTTGAAATCAGTATAGGCATACCTATCAAACCAAACCAGAAAGCATTTACAGACATTGTCACAAGAAAGGAGCAGGTATAGTTGATATAATTCTTAAAATACTTTACATAGATTTCACCTTTGATGGAGGGATTCCACTAGGGTTTCTTATCAGAATTCCGTTGCGTGCAACTGTGCAGAATTGCACGCAACTGTTTCATATTCCTCGGAAATTACAGGGCCCGCAATGTCACACAAGTAAAATCTACTTCCGTTGGAAATCCTAGATTCCACTACAATCAAAATTTTGTGCAAAATTGCTTGAGGTTGCATTGGCGAAAAGTTGAACAGTTTTTGGTCACAAATAACTTTGACCAAACTCACGTAGACATAGCTCAAACACTTATCTTAATCTTGAACTTTCAACAAGAGAGGAGGTTTAGCTACACGATACTTCATTAAATCTTGTATTAGGAAAGAAAAAAGCGCGAAAGTACTGAGGTTCCTCAATGTGGAGCTGAGGAGCAGAGCTGCTGTCTGTCCTCTGTATCGGTTAACCTGACGTCTATTGGTTGGGATTTTGTACTAAATCCTCAAGTGATAGAATTCACATACTGCGGAGGACACTGTGATCCATTCAGAGTTCCTCCAGGAATGTTTGTTCCACAAATGGCAGCACTCAGATGGGTAGGTTCATATCTTCATGAAAACTAATAAAAATGACTGCTGTCTTTGCTAATGTCAATAAAAGGCTTTAATAGTCTCCTAAAGATATGCTTATTAGCAAACAGACTTCCCTAAACGGAATTGATGATCTTTAAAAGAATTTTACTTACACCCAGCTTTCATTATAGTAATCTTAGATGTTCGCAAGATATATCCACAAGCCGATTTGTTCTTGCAGTTTCTGTTTCTATGGATTCTTGATTTTCTATTAAAAAAATTAGAAAATTTTCTAGGAAAAATCTTTAGTTTAGACTGGCTCAGCCATTTTAACAATTATTGAACAAAAATACAGGCAAGCCAAATTAGATTTTAGAGAACTTTGTATACAAGCCAAATATATATATATATTATATATATACTAGATTTTAGAGAACTTTGTATACAAGCCAAATATACAGTATAAAACAAAAGCAAAAAAGTTTGCGGATTTCATAATATTTTTTCGCGCATTTTCAGAATTTTACAAAAATAAAAACTTTTTAACACAAATTTTTTGGGGTCACGTGAGGTCCCACATAAAATTTGTTCTGACGTTTATTGGAAACAAACAAACAGACAGACACGCAAAGTATATATATAGACTATGGCTATAAGGGCGCTTCGCGCACGTCTTCTATTTCACTTGTGAACATTTTCTCTTTGTAAAACAAAACAAAACAAAAACAATTTCGTGGATTTTATAAAAAAAATTCGTGAATTTTCAAAATTTTTTTAAATCGAAAAAATTTTTGGGCCCGATCGGTTCAGCCGTTTTTTCGACACCCATACAGAGAAGCAAAATTATACATATAGAATAAAGATATAGAGTATCTAATTTATTTGTCCATTTTAGAAAATCCACCTGAGTGGTCTGCACAACCTGCCAGCCCCCTGCTGTTCCCCAAGAAAGTATGGAAACCTCGAAATCCTCTACTTTGATGACCTCCCTGATGGTAGTGTCGAAGTTATGGTCGGAACTCTACAAAACGTCCTAGCCACATCCTGTGGGTGTGGATAAATTATATACTACAGGGTGTCCCAATAAACATGAGAGTTAAGTACTGAATTCTAGATCTTTTTTGTAAAAAAAATGTAATTGTAAAGGATTAAAGCTCTCTCATACAAAATCAAAAATAAATTAAAAACCGATTTCGAAATTGTCACTCAATTCACTTGTCTAGTGGGACACCCTGTATTCTGAAAGATTAGTACGATCAATAGATTTTTGAGCACATCGAGAGAAAAAAATACATTTCTAAGAATAAAACGAATTTTCTATTATTTCTAAAAATAGTAATGAAAGAAAAAAAGCTATGTAATGCTTTTCACCAGCATTTTCATTCATAAAGTCTTAAAAACAAAATTATGAAAAATGTATAAATATTAAAATATTAACTTATTTGTGTAATCATAAATACATAATACATATTCATATCATTTTTTCAAAATTGTGACAATTATTATTATTATTATTATTATTATTATTATTATTACTATGATTATTATTATTATTATTATTATTATTATTATTATTATTATTATTATTATTATTATTATTATTATTATTATTATTATTATTATTATTATTATTATTATTATTATTATTATTATTATTATTATTATTATTATTATTATTATTATTATTATTATTATTATTATTATTATTATTATTATTATTATTATTATTATTATTATTATTATTATTATTATTATTATTATTATTATTATTATTATTATTATTATTNTATACCGCAGCTAGACCAAAAATCAAAAGTTGACCAAAGAGAAATTAATATTTTGAATTGTAAAAGTGTGAAAGGAGGATATCAATTTTGTTCAAATTTTTTACCCTATAGTCTTTCCCATAGTTTCCTGAAAAGTCATGAAAAAAGTTATAAATAAAGTTTAACGAGATATGTTCTTTTCCCCAAAATTCGCAAGGAATTAAAAAAAAATGAAATAAATTTAAAGAATTAAAATTCAACATCAGTCTCAATTAAAAACTGTGGTGAAAAGTATTGAATAACTGAGAAAATACCTGTTGTAATTATATTGGCTTTATTTTGTTCCCGTCAGGACAAATGGAGGAAAATGTACGCTAGATTGTGACATATGTATTTAGGTTAATCAACTACACTGATCATTGTTATTAGGTGCAGTACGTGGAAAAGGGATTTGAAAATAAACCAAAATTTCGCTGAGGGGGGGGGGTGATTTTATTGATGGACTATTTGGGTCATAAAAAGAATTGTAACTTGCTCCCCAAAATAAAATGGTAAGTATTGGCGACTTTTCAAAATATCCAGTGCTCTCCAAAATAATATGGAAAATGAAGACGGCTTCTTATAAATATACAGGGCTCCCCCCAAAAAATATAGTAGGAATAGACGACTTCTCTTAAATATTAAGTGCTCTCCAAAATAAAGTGGAAAATAAAGACGACTTGTATTAAATTAACAGTGCTTCCCATAATTGAATGGTAAAGATTGGTGGCTGTTGATAAATATACGGTAATAAAAGGGTGATGTGAAGACTACTTTTCTTTAATATGCAATCTATTTTTCAAGAAGCACTGTATATTTACCATATTATTTTGAGGAGCTCTGTATATTTATGAGCAGTCGTCTATGCTTACCATCTTATTTTGGGGAGCACTGTATATTTTGTAGTGGATCCCTGTTTTCCTAAATCCTTGATTTCTAACAATTTCAACGTTAAAAGCAATTATCTGATGGAATCCTTGCTTTTCCCATAGATC